AACGGTAATATGTCAAAAATCTTGACAAGGGATTAAATTCAATATATCTTCGATAAAACTTTCCTCCGCAATTGAGGAAAAGAGCGAATACGTTCGCGTTCAAAGTGTGATTTTGAAAAATCATAAATTACATAGTAAATGTTTGAAAAATATATATATGTATATATACACAATGTATCATATGCAAAATCTTTGTAATCCTAAGATAATTAATTGGTCGAGTAAAGAAGAGAAAATTATAGAGCAATTATTTCTTAAACGTTTGGAGCAAGGTTAAACAGATAAAAACCAAATAAGTAGAATTTAAAAAAAAATCATTTATATTAAACATAGTGCAATTAAATTATAAGTACTAATATTTCCTCCGCGCAATTAATCGAACGTGTAACACTTCATTAAACTGGGTCATAAATATAGTACAGTTATAATACGTCATGGAATAAAATATAAATCGCAATCTTGAAATAAGAGCTTAAGCTGGTTAAACATCTCTTTTTGGCGAGGTGTACGATTTTGATCTTTATCAGCAATGCTGAATGCCTCATCTGGATGTGCAAGAAGAAAACATTTGTGTTGCAAATTGCTGCGAACTAGAATGGCAAATGACTCATTCATGCAAACACCGGTTCGCATACCTTTCAGGGAAAAAGAGTATCACATATAAAAACCCAGACCAATTATAGAAATGTCATAAACTGCTTGTTAAAAACTAAAACAAATAAACATCAATTTATAAAATATATAATCCAAGAGAACATATACAGATAAAACAGAAAACCGCAAAAATAAAAAATAATTTGTTTAAAATATAAAGTGCGTTTTATATATTATATTTTATTTAAAAATAATAAATTTTTATTATATTCTTATTATTTAAATTTTTTAAATAAAATCTCAATATGAGATACAAATTCAAAGTTAATTATGTTTTTATCGAATAAAGTTGGAAAACAAAAAGATTTTCTTTTTTCATATGGAATTCATCATCAAATATATGATTAATTACGCTTATTTTAGAATGCTTTTATTAGTAACTGTAATTGACTGGCGCCATCTACTCTTGATTAACGGGAAGGCCGAGGAGATTTAAGAGAATGGTATCTCTTCAGCGAATGTGTAGAAACATTCTTTCATATATCCATCAAGATGGAGCTGCAATTGCGTTGCATACCAGACAGAGACAACATGCATGGATTAGATTGCACCTGCATTTGCATACCGTTACGCAAATAAAATTTTTATAAATTAAAACTGCAATGCTATAAATTCAACACTCTATATATAAAAGCGAGTTAATTTATGATTGCACACGAAAATAATTTATTTGAAAAAAAAATTATTAAATATATGAATAATTGAATTAATAAAGTTGCTACAAAATATAAATTGTTAATCACATAAAAATATCTATATTTTTAATTTATATCCTATATAAATATTATATACATATTTTTATATTTTATGTAATTAATATTTTATTTTATATTATTTTACTTTATATTTTATCGTATTTTTTAAAATATAATCTTTAAATGCAATCTACAATGTAACCTCTTTGAAGGATGTTGCACTTAATATATCATGAGATACGATCTGATGTATGTTCATCCTTTGGAGAATAGAACCGTCGCGGAATATAGTGCCGCAATCGTAAAATTTTATCGCGCAAATTGCAACCGCCACTCGGTTGCAAGTCACGTATTGTAAGAAGGAAACGCTCGTATGTTTGCGGGTTATCGAGTTACCCGGCTTCTCTTTGACACCTACACGAAGAAGTGGTGGCCCGTTCACCTTGACGGCCGAAGATAAATAGCGACTGCATACGTCAGGAAAGGGTATACCCCCTTGAAAAAGCGACACGCTTGCACAAACACTCGTGTCACGTTACAATCGTGAGTGTTTACGTATTATGTTTGTCAAAGGTTGAAAATTTTGGAAGAGCACGTACGCTCGTACTTACGACTCGTGCGATTAGTCTACTCGTCTAATTTAAAAAAAAAATACTCGACTTTATTTCATGGCTTTTCTCTTATAAATACTAACGACCGTGAAGTCGTAATTGTGGGATGACGCTCGAAAAATCTCGGAAGAGCGCCCACGGAATGCCATTTTTGTCAATAACGCGATGCGCTAATTGCGCGATCTTCTAATTGTGTACGCGGCAGCACGATGATAACATCTCGCTCTTACGTATATGTATTTACGTGCATTTGCATTCCGCGGCTGCGTCATTAGCGTTCAACATCAGACGAGAATGGGCATTAGAATTTCGAGTGTAGGTGTTCAAAGGTCTCGTCAGATTATTGCGTTATTCATGAACCGCGTTATTGATTTTACGCGGAAAGAATCTTCTTCCCAAATTAATTTTAAATTAAAACCATTATATTAAAAAACAATAATTGTGTTCAAATAATATTAAAACTTGAGTAAATTAAAATGTAAAAAGTCAGCTGTTGTGAGAATATAATATTGAGACGTGTAGTCTCTTGAATGAATAATTAAATTTTCACTAAAGAGAAACCGCCTGCAACTGTTATCTTTATTAATTCGAGAATCGAGCACACGCTGTTGCATTTATGACGCAAAAATCTTAGATGCGTACAAGACTGGCGAATGTAGAACGCGAATGAATGTTCCGCGATGTCAACATGAACTTTCATAGGCGATTCGCAATTCGTTAGATCGATCGTACAAAGACAAACGGATGAAACTGAAGAACCGGTAAGTTGCGACACACTTATGGAAACACAACGTTTCAATCTTCGTTATAGTTTACCGCAACTTCCGCTGTTCTCCGACAGTTTGATATATTGCACCGTTGTTGCTGACGATGCATCGCGTTTTCTATGTGCGAATGAAAGAAAAAATGCGCGTAGCTTGGACCAACCAGGTCCTCTCGCAGCTCATAAATGACAAATAAATGGTCTAAAGTAAGATCTGGCAGCGGAAAAAAATTGATAAATACACATCAAAGGAAGCCGGAATCGTAATAATTCATCTTGGATGTTTAAGAAGTCAGGTGATGACCGGGAATTAATAAAACGCATTGTTTATAGCCACCGAGCTTACCCACACCTAGCTGACGTCACGACACTTCCGCGGAATTATTACGTTACATAATGCAATCGTGTCGATATCGAGGCCGCTATTTCAGAGCATTTAATGCTTCTTTTGCGAAAAGATAAACTTTTTGATCTTATCATTTAATTATTGCTTGATCATAAAGTTGCTTCTCTCATGCAGTCATGCATATATACCGTCATATCATATATAAGAAACCGATTTCGAATTCTATTATATTATTTATCTTTATATAATTTTTCTTTTACAAAAAAAAAAATTATCAAAATCCGCGCGTTATAAAATTGTTTTTTAAATAAAAGAGTGAAATTATTAAAAGTGTAAATGATTTGAAATCAGTTTCTCATATGAATTCTTCAGTCATGCTCTATGTATTTTTATTTTCAAGATTTAAACAGACAGCAAAGAAATAATATACATACCCTCGCGGTGCAAGGATAAAAGAAAAATATGATATAAATAGAAGTAAAATGTAAACATTCGTCATTATTCCTTCGAAAAGTCACATTCGCGGAAATTTGTAGCTGTACGTTGACTCACTTATTCATTTGTTACTTTTATATATTCGTAGTAAATAAGCCGTTATTTTTGGCTCTTTTTCATCACTACGTATCCGACATGTCGAGGATAGAAACGGCAATTGATATGCAAATTTTTGGCTAACACCACGCTATTGTTGTATTATATCGCGCGGAAACGTACAATTTCATATTGCGTATGGACGTGAATCGAATATCTCGTATTCAAAAGACAACATTCACACAATAAATCGCAGTATCAAAAATGAGAAAATTTATATCAATATTGTACATAGATTTTAAAGCAATATAAAAAAATTTACATAGTATTACGTATTAATAACATATACTTAAAAAAATCATCAAATGTTCGATATCAAAATACGCTTCAATAGAGAAAATAGATAGATACAGAATATAATAAAAAGTGTGACACAAGGAATAAGTTCCATCTAGTCAAAAAAGAGGATAAGAAAGATTATCCTCTAATTAATTGACAGTTGAGGCAATTACGATGTTTAATTGACAATTTCTTAATAGCCACGACTAATCAATAACGAGAAGAGCATGAAGCCATGAATACATCTAATTGGCAATAAGATGGAGGATCTATATATTTCTTGTTAACAATTAAAAATTCGTATCAGTTTATAAGAGATCATAAATTCCAAAATTTTAATAACGCGCGTTTGTCGAAATAATCTATTAAAAAATACTATCTGTTATATATGTATATGCATGAAAAATGTTTTATTTTGTGATATCCAATTTATAAAGTAAGATAATTATAAGTTTTCAATAATTTCAACATATTAAAAAAATTGGACAATCCTTAATCACGAATATTCAGATTTATATGCGATATTTATTGATACACCAATCTTTTCTATTGAACATAAAACTCTTGCTCAACGCAAAAATACAGAGGGTGCGGTAACAAGCTTAACATTTTTTACACCGGAAACAGTAAACACAGGGAGACGTAGAATGACTTTACGCGGCCGGTATTTCAATCGATTCGCGGAAAATGTGTGCGAAAGCCGGTTTCTCTAGTGAACGACATACTATATAAACGGGTTATAGGTTTTACGTCAAAGTCTACGGAAATAAAGAAGGACGGATATTTAGAAAGTTTGCGTTGGCGACGAGTTACTGTGCAATTTTTATAACGATGTGGCAATATTATGATAAATATGGTGACAAAATGATCATATAAGTTGAAGCGATGCGATGCATCGATTTATGCCCATGATTATGGAATGAATAATTTTAGCATATTAAATAATATTTAACGTAATAAATGCAATATTACACTCTTGGAAATAAGAGTAGCCAGAGATTCGTGAATAGAAAATAGTGTTGCAAAAAGCAACATGACGCAATATTTAGCAATTGACTTACCTTTGATTTGATGATATCATAATGTCCCTCCGACACCCTTGAGTCATAACCGCCTGACATCGAATTTTGCCTTCTGTAACAATTAAATATTCACGTTGTAAAATTAAAAAATTGCACAATATATGATAAAAATAGAAAGATATAAATATGTAATATATAAAAAAAGAGAAAGATAAAATAAATATATATGGACTTGTAAGAAAAATACAATAATAAAAAATAACAAAAATTAAATATATTCATTAAGAAACACAAAATATGAGAAAGTAAAAAAGTGGAAAGAAAATTAAAAATTTAGCGCCGCGGGAGATCGGAAAGAAAGCCATTCACTATAAAGCACTACCGATATATTAAATGACGCAACGCCTCTGACAGAGGCCATAAATTTTCACTTTACGCTTCACGACAGGATTATAGGAAGATTTTAACGACGATGCATGTGAAAACTTACGCGACTGGGTCTGATCCATTGATTGTAGGCTTCGGTGACTGGATTCCAGACCGGACAGGTGTACTCGTGTGAACCGGCGATGGTCCTTTGCTACTCAACGGCTGCTTTATGCTGCAAATGTCAGAATGGATGGAACGATAATTCTGGATGGCAGTCAAGTCTCGTAACACGCGATCATAAATTCTCTTAAAAGCGTGAGGAATTTACAGCCGGAACTGCTACAATCGCGTCTGTCACTTATTAACCCCCGTCCCTCCCGTTTCTGTTGACATTTTCCATCCCGAGCAATCATGCTGTCAAACCGGCGTAAATCCAACATACGATCACATGTTACACGCAATAACTCCGTATAATTGCTAAATACACGTATGTAAGCTCGAAAATTAACTTTTGTCCAGAAAAAATTCGAAATACATGGATAACTTTCAAGACAAATGATAAAATAAAAGTAAATTGCGTGTAAATTATCGGAATTTACATATAAAATAATATACATATATTGTTTGAGAAAATAAAAATATTTTCTTGCTGTAACATTAAATTATTATAGATAATTCCTTCCTACTTCTTAGAATACAAAGACTTTCTCTATCAATCATTATGAGATAATTCGCTATATCCTCTTAAAGCATTTATTCTTTTGCGCTTCTGAAGAATGGGCCTGGGAATGAACCATGACCGCGATTTTCGTACATCAAACAGAAATAAAGAAGCCCGAGAAATCGCGAAACCTCCTCGATTATTCAAGCGAGACGTGATTTATCGGGATTCCTTATCATCCTCCGACTTTTAACATAGTTGTCTCGACCTCTTCGAGAACTTGCACCTTCCGATGCATATGCAAGGGATTAAGAATCTCTTAAATGATTTATAGATAAGTAGCGTGTGAATTCGCGAAATGCTCTATTCATTCTGAAGTTAAATGTATGTAAATTTTGCAAAAAAAAACTGATGTCTTAATTTTCTCGAAATCTCGTACTTTTTATTAGTTATATACAAAGTAACATAATTATTCACGTTGCCTAAAAGCAAATCAGAGATCCCATTGCTCCCGTATGATAGCTTTTGACGTATGAAACAGCTGTCAAATTTTTGGATATAACGGTTTGATTTACCGACATATTCTGTAAATCGCTGACTGAAACAATCTCCAGTCGATCATGGCTCAGTTTTCGTTACCGTTATACAAAATCGCGCTGCATCATGGCGCGTGCTGCGTTCTCAATCGAGGTAACGTTTTCCGATGCGACATGAGCTCTTAATGCAATTTCAAGTTTTTACTTTAAGTGCGCGCGGTTCTCTTATTATACAGTACAACAATCTAACATTAAATATTCGTGGAAATCGTGACGGTATAGTTAATATTTAGAATCACTAAGTATACTTACTATTTCTGTTCTTTATTAACATATTTAATGAATTAAGAAATTAATATAATATCGCATAAATTACATTTATCATTTACCAACTTAAAAATCGCGTGATTTCTCGAATGTTGTATTATTATTAAATATTTCAAAATTATTTCTTGAATAAGCTATACACACAAGCAGATATATTTAAAGCTCGTTATTTTTAGACAAGATTTCAAACTATTCAATTGGCAGCCCTAAATATATCCGAGCATGAATTATTTCAGACAATTTTTTAAATATTACTTCTCGATGTTAAATGTTAAATTAAAATTGAATTATAATAAAATGCGAAATATTGAAACTGTGACTTATCTTTGAGTTTTACTAAATTTCTGAGATTAAAATTTCAAGATAATTTATTGAATATTGTTCGAATCACTGGAGTGTCTAATTCTATAAAATAACGATATAACGGCAAATATCAGCGAATTACACGCAATATTTACCGGCTTATGCATGGCGGTGTGGAACTGACGCTCTTGAGGCTGCACGTGCTGCTGTGACTGTTTTGTTTACTATAAATTGGCCGATTGTTAGGAGACTCTACGCAGATCCGTTCAGCGATACGGAATCGCGGCGTCGTCGGTTTGTGATAAATCATGCTTCCTCGCCGTCGCAAATCGCGACTTCACGCCTTCATCACGAGAGACTCCCTTCGCGCGAGCGACTCCGCCAACGAATGCGAGTCGGAAGAGTCTCTCTCTCTCGCACTACTAAATCGGACGCACTTATATTGGCGATCAAACTCTCGGCACTGCAAAACGCACGAAAAAAAAAAAAAAAACAGGTCCGACTTGACCGCTCAGGAAGCCGCGGAATTCGCGCCCGAGAGATGCGAACGGTATGTTTGTTGCACAGAGGCACAGTTGCAATTGCAGACGATTCCGGACTGGATGCTGGCCGACTAGGAGATCCGACGACGGTGGCGTCCGCGACTCTGACTGAGTGAGCTCGTCCGAGCTGTCGGCTCCGACTCCGCTCCGGAGCAATAACAAAGCCTATCAGGGGCCGCTTTGATTCGCGCGCGGCGGTTTTGTGGGTTTACACGCGGTGCATTCCCGGCGATCAGCTGTCGCTGGAGCGGGCGGCGAGAAGCGTAGAAAGTTTTGCGAGCTCTTTAAAGGAAGAGCTCGCAAAACGCAAATGCGGAGATAGGTGGAGGATAAGAGGAAAAACGCACCCAGCCCGTTATTTTCACGAGTAAAATAGCGTGTCGATATCTTTCGCTCTCTTTCGCGCATTTTAATCAATAGAAAGTTAAGGAAAAGAGCAATCGAGTGCGATTAGAGGCGAGCGGAAATTACGCTATAGGAGACGTTATACGATTAAGTAACAAGGTCACGTCAAAAATCCGATTTCAATATAGCTTATTCAAATCTGACGAATATCATATTAAAGACATTGGACGAATTATTTCAGAATTTTTCATTGATATCTAAAGCGATATAATCATTTTTACGATATTAAAAGTATTTAAATTGTCATTTGCTTTTTAATAAATTTGGAAAAATTAAATACTTTCAAATAAAGATATTTAAAACCCAACATTATATTCGAAAATCTTACGATAAAATACATAAATGCACATTTGTTTAAATGTAAGAGAGAAGATCAATGTTAATAAAATTTTTTCAACAATCTACTACTTTCGGTTGCATTGAATAACTTTCGAGAGAAAGAACAGTAAGTACAATCGCACGAACAATCGCTTTCAAGAAGGAACATCTGGCAGATGTCCCGCTTCAAGAGACATAGGAAACGAGCGCCTCACAGTTATTTCTCGCAGTTGAAGTGATACACGCGAATTATATTCTATTTTACACAACAGTCTGCACGTATATATCGCTACACTTTCTGCCTTACATCCAGAAACAAACACGAATTCCTATGAATTTTCAATCGTCGTTGTTTGTTCATACAATCGACAAAGAACTTTTCCGTTCTGCTTTCTTGAAATCGCGTCCGCGCGTAGGATTTTCGTAGGATTTCTTATTGTCGACGGGAAATATTTTGGTGTCAATGCATTAAATAATATTCCTGATATTTAAACATCTTTTCCTTTCTACAGTTTTTTCTATTCGCTCGCAATCAACGAGTTTTCACTCGCTTCGTTCGCGGAATGTGTAACTGAGAAAGCTTTTGTAAATAGGAAATTTCTAATAATGCAATCGCTATAAATGCGCTATATATTAGTGAACATGACCTACACAACAATTTACCTTAAAAAAGAAATAACCATACTGCTATAAAAATCAAACAAAATATTAATTGACATCTTTGTTTAAATATGCCAATGCGATGAATTTTGAACGATAAAAAATTCGACAATTATTTTTCATAATCATTAAATAAAGTTATCAAATTTTAATAATTATATTAATTATTAATATTAATTAAAAGTTATATAATTTTATCGGGAAATTACAACGCGTTATACTACTTATTTAAAATTTCTACACTTTCTATTAATCAATTAGTTGGACATTCCTGAATATAAATAAAGCAACATATCCCTGATAATATTTTATTCTGTAAAAAGAATTGTTTCACATCGATGAGTTATTACATAAGTTTGTAGACCATTAAAGGAAATTAATTATATATAATTACGTAATCGCGCTCAATAACACGCAATTAAAACTTATATAATAAATAAATTCATCGCCGCGAAACGATTACTTGAGATTTTTATTCATCTTTAACCCACAACACCTGCACAGTATTCAATGTTAAACGAGACGCTTCAATTCGAGAGAAGGAGAGAGACTGTATCGCGATTATACTTCGTATTCCGATGATGTTTCAACAAAGCCTCGTTTGTTACCAATGACGGCCACTCGCGCGTTCTAATTACGTGCTGCATCTCGCCGTATACGCGCAAGTAGGTGACTGCGAATCAACTGCGCAAAGTCTCACTGATATGTCAAGAAAATCCATCTCTTTGGCGTCATTCGATTCCAACAAACCAAGTAAGTCATTTCTCTTCTCGTTGTAGAAATTCGACGCGTTACACCTCCGTGAACGATCGACGGTAAAAGTACATTTACCATATTTCCGGATATGGTAATGCTTAGTTGCGATTAGTGAAAATTTAATTAATATAGGAAGACTGATATTTTTTAACAAGCAACGTTGTTCGTATGTAATAGCTTTCAATTTTCTAATAGGTATATTTTATTTTCAGACTTTTATAGATATTCTTGAAAATACTTTTTTGTGTTGTTAGGTACTTACATTTATTCACTAATTTTAAGTAATTAGAATATTTTTAAATATATTATATTTATATTTAAAAATTTTCTAATTATTAAAAATTTGTGAATAAATTTACAAAGCAACAGTATTAAAAAATATTTTCTAAAAAATATATACATCTCTGTTTTGAAGGACTGTTTAAATATATATTTTAAATTTTGTTATAATTTTTTAAATAATTTTGCAATTAATATTTCGAAAAAAAACCGAGATATAAGAGTAACTTTATATATTCATCATTGAAAACGGAACCCATCGTGCAATAAATCTAGCAAATCATCAAGAATAACTACGTTTGTTGAACTCGCTAAAGGATCAAGGGCTTCCGTTTGGCCTCTATCTCGAATGCGAAACACCGCCGTCTAAATACGCCGTATTTCGCTGCTAACGAAGTGCCTGACACTCGAGGCTTCTTTGGAGCGAGTTAATTTCTCGACTCATTCCTCGAAAACGTCAATGCGACTGCTAGCCGGTCTCATTGGTACGTTCATGGAAATGTATTTTATACTATTTATCTAGAAACACGATTAAATAGTAAATACTCGGAAAACATCCCGTAATGCACGAATATTTTAAGGTAGCTCTATCAATCTAATTATAAAGCTATCATAAATTGCAAATGAATAATTAATACTAATTTTATACTACTAGAAATTGTAAGCATTTTAAATTAAAATTTTAATTTTAATTATATATAAATGAAATGTTAAAATAATATAAGCATTGATATCCATAAATATATACATATACAATATGCAAATATTACTTTAATTTATATTATTTCTGATCTATATTATATTTATACTATTTGATTTCTGAACTTTCTATATCATGTGCATCGTGTTCAATTTTAAACGCAATATTTTTGTGAAAAATTCAGAGCTATTTAATTGATATAAATACATATGTAATGAACATAAATTCAAATCAAGTCTAAGTCTAAAATTTGCACGTTTCATGTATTACAGAATACAATTACGCGTTTGAATGGAACAATGCAACCATAAATATGTATAATGGAGGTATACGCGTGAATCACAGATAGGACGAGATTGTATAGGGTCATGACTTTGTATGTATTTATATGTATCCGGTATCCGGTTCAGACATAATGTTACGGTCGATGCCAATGAACCGTGATCGAATTCTAATTTCGATTGTGACGCATTTAATTCAATCTTTCGGTGAATGTTCGCATTCTCGAAGATTACCTCGATTGAGAAACAGCATGTCATTGAACATATTTTGAAATCATTTTTAATCAAAATTTTACTGTTTGAGTTATGCCCTATCTTTAAAATAGAATTATGAAATTTCTAAATGACCTAATTAATTTTACTTAGCCGTTTAGTTTTTTAAATAAAATAATTAAAATAAAATTTCAGATTTATATATATGTTTAACTAAAGATATTGAATCAATAAATTTTTTTGTTTAATTATTTCAAATATTTTATGAAAAAATATATATATATATATCGTATATCGAATATATATATATAAATATTTAAATATTCAAATATTTTTAAATCAATAAATTTTTTTAATAAAATTAATTTCATAATACTCATGTCAAAATTTAAAATTTTAAGAAGTAAAAAAAATAAGATTGAAACAGCGTGATAAATAGCGTGGAAAGTCAATACTAAATAGTCAAAATAATCAGTTTACTCGAAAAATGACGTCTTTTATCGATATCACCTTGGATATCGCATTATGATTTCAATTTATCTAAACCTAAGCTATACTTTTCTTCGAACATATTTTATCATAATAAATGCGACAAAGATATTCTGCTATCGCCATCTATTAGAGAATGCAATGAACTTCACCTTGATTGAATGCACTTAATGCAACAGAGTTATTTCATCGATATAGATTGTATATATCTATGTATTAATATAATTAATTTAAATTTAAAAAAGTTTTTTTAAATTAATCTAAGTTATGTAAATCCGCAATTTTATAATACAAAAATTTTGAATCTTTAAACATTATTGTACAATTTTTTAACTATGCATTTTTTAATATTCTATTAATTAGAAATAAATTCCTACCTGACAGTTTATAGAAATCATGAATAGCAAATTCGTTTCATTTTTCCGTCTTTGAAATAATTTTTTTAGATAAAAATTAATATTAAAACCACAATAATTCTACCAACAGTAACTAATGTCTCTTCATCTTATATATTGAATAACTTTGTTGCAATTCGTAATAAAAATAAAATATCAGAGAAATATGAAATTAATAAAATCACTCACCCTTCTCCTTGCAGTCTATTATCGGCTACTTGCATCGGTAACGGCGCCGATAATTGCCTAACTAATTCGTCTCTCTCCCTTTCCTTTTGCTGAATAGTTTCCTGCAATCTCTGCTTCTGCTTCTGGTACTCTTTAAACAGGCCACCGTTGTAACTTTGTTCGAGATGATCGCCAGGAGCCATCACCGCTCTAACCGGGATCGCGGTCGGTTCCGCAATTTTGGCCGCGACTCCAGTAGGCTTTTCCGCCAAAGAGTCTCTTCTAGAACTCCTGGCGGTCGAGAGAGCTGGCGATTCCCTGCCAGCTACTCTACGTTCTGGCGTGGATGTTGCTGAAGGGTCTGCTTCCATACCTGTTATTAAGAAATGATTTAAAAGCCTTTATAATGTGTGTTATAGAACTTCATTTAACAGAACAAGTTCATTAATTTCAGAAATTAATATAGCTAATTAATGCTAAATTAATTAAAATCATAAATTAGAATTTTATAAATTTAGATTTCTGTTATTAAATATAATTATGATTAGAATAAAAAATCTATAATTTTCTTAAAATCTTTTAATAAATAATATTCTATTATATATGTAACCAAGTAATTTAAAATCTTTAAAAAGATGCTACGATATTATGTACTTTATGATCTTACCATCGGGACTCTTTGAGTGTCCTCTCGTCCTCGGTGGAGCTTTAGGAGTGGTCTCTTGTATCGAAGGTAGCTGTTGAAATTCGGCGTAATTCGAGCTAAGAAAGACGTCACCCTCGTTCTCGAAGAGCCTATCGACGCTAGTATTCATCAATTTGTTATTCTTGAAGCCAGTCAGATGAAAGCTAGCAAAGGACGACCTGGACATCGGGTTCACGTCGCCGATAGACAGCGCCATGAGTGCCGCGGATGGTATGGCTGTGTTCTTGGATCCAGGACTCCTGGGTCCGAGACCGGCCTCGAGAGCCGGCACTAAACTACGAGACATCATGTCCGCGGCGGATCTCGGCCTGGTGAACGGCATGGCGCTGTGCGGAAAGGTTTTCGGTTTTATCGGCGTTATCAGCATGTGTTCCGTCCACGAGGTCTCTAGAGAGGGTCTTTCCAGACGCTCCACGTCGACATTCAGAGTTCTTTGCGCGAAGGGTACAGCGAATGTCTCGGGAGGTATACTTTGAAGCCATGAAAGTAAACTTAAGTCCGAATCGCTGAAACCCACGGATCCGTCCAGCAGCCTCGAGAAACTCATCTCCACCTGTAACATGAGAATGTGTAGAAGAAAATTAAATTAAATGTACAAAACATTGTATATTAACATTTAGAAAATATTTCGAAAAAGATATCTGAAATTATCCTTTTAATAACAGGAAAATAATTGTAATTTCAGAATTAATTCCGTCAAATTTCTACTAAAAATTCCTTATAATGTAATAAAATACAAATATAAAAAAGTAAAAAATAAAAATTACCTGTTCACTCTCTTTCGACCCGGTAGCTTTCGCTTGGCAGTAATTAACGCAGGACTCGTACAAGATGCCCTTGATAATAAGCTGAATGAGTCGATCATTTTTCGCCGAGGTAACCGGATGCGCGGAGTCGAGGCTCTTCCTGTCACCCGGCAGAAACTTCTCCACCAAGGGATGAACCTCGCGGAAACATTGTACCCTGGCGTTGCTGGGATTCCAGTCCTTGTACTGCAAATGATCCGTCAGTCGCGGCAAAGTGAGCAGCAGACATAGACTGCTGTACTCTTCTTTGGAAGGCGCGACCTTCTCAAGATCGCTCAACACCTTGACGACCTCCTCGACGGCGTTGTCGACGCTGCCGTTGGTACCGGCGGCAATGACGTTCGCTTCGGACTTGATGCACAGCAGCTCGACATACTTGTGGCGCAGGATCGAATACGTGAACTTCCTCATGTCGAAGTCCGAGAGCGCCTCCAGCGGCTGGATGAACTCGAGCACGTCGTCCCATTGCCCGTCGAGAATCAGCTGGCGTAGAAAGAGCACGTCGTCGCTGTATTGGCCGTTTATCACGCCGGTCTCGCGCTCGAGTGAGAGCTGCGAGATGTGAAGGTCACGGCTGTGGAGAAACTCCAAGGTCAGTCGCACCACGTCCTCCTCGCGCAGCGTCAGATGCGCCGCCGGCATCACGTACCGAATACGCAACCTAGACAATTTACAGAATAAATTGGCACATGCCTCGATAGTCGCCAAGAATCGCGAAAGAGACATCGCTCTTTGTAAGAAAGTATCTTTCATCAAGAAATAAATTACAGAGAAATTTTATAATATGGTTGGTTGGAGCGCATTAATATTGAACCGTTGTTTAGAAAAAAAAAACTATATATTTTTAAAAGTTTTATAAAAACGCTCGTAACAAATGTTTTTTAATATTTTTAATGTTTGATAATCAAGCATATGTCATACTAAAGCAACATGAAAATATGCATAATTTCAATTTTTATTTCTAATGCTTTAAAATTTGTGACCATTTTAAAAATTAGAACATTTGTATAACATTCTTCTATAATTTTCAAAAATGATGAGATATTATATAGAAACTGTCTATAATACAAAAAATAGATAATATAATAAAATTCTATACACTTAGAAAAGGGATAAAAAATAAAAATACTTATTCTAAAGAAAGGACTGAAATTATCATAAATATATAGAGTAATTTGATGTCGTATTAAGTTACTGAATATGTCGGCGATTTTATTCTTGGTTTCAACTTTCGCGTGCGATGCGAAGAACGCAAGAACAGTGATGCAAATGAAAAATTTCTAAACGATGTTCGGATCTATATTCGGAGGTTTGGTGCCTATAATATACAACGAGAGAGAAGTCTAGATCAACGTCTCGGCATCCAGCCACCCACTTACGCGATAATCAGGGCACGTCTGTGGGTGCGCTGGCCCCAAAGTGCAACGAACTCCCGCGAGGAAGTGCATTTTCGCGCATTCCATACGTGCATATCATTGCCGGATTTTGCAATCGCACAACGAACTCGGAAATCGGCGAACTCGGAATCAAACCTCTCTTGTCAATACGATGATCATTAGTAAGGGCTTTCACAAGCCAGTCGTTAAGCAAAAACGCTTGCCGAAGCGTTCGTGATACAATGCATCTTTTATGGTCAACTGTAGTGACGTACTGTTCCACACCAACGATTTTTTAGAATGATTCACAATACGTTTCTTTTAATATTTGATGGCGTTCATATTTCCGCCGCGAACGGTTTCATTCCGCAATGTGCAAACTAATCGAATTACAAAGAACACGAAATTCGTATCATCAGCAATTTCATTGGCTATTTACGCTCAGCGACAGACCGAAGATTCGTATCAGTCTCGACCAAACTACTGCAAGAGCAACACGGAATCGCGATGTTCACATATCGACTATTAGTGAGTGAATTTTTCTTACATTTATTTTATATTTTTTTAACTCAGCCTCTCAATTATTTAAATTAGCGCTAATACAAAATTTTATAAAAATTAAGTGCATAATAGAATCTCAGAATTCTAATTAAATATCTACGATACATCGACAAAATTTTAGATTAATTAAAAATAATTTAAAAATAAGGAAATAAACTTCTGCCATCGAATATTTGCTCAAGAGACTAAATTGCATGAATTTATTTAAACGTTACAGATTCTAGCGGCGATAATCTTGTCGGCAAAAATCATATTCGCCGACATCCTCGTTCCCAATTACAAACTTCAATATAGCAATAATCCGTCTTATCAACAACCTCAATCTGTAATTGAAATTCCGCATTACAAGGTGCCATCTGCAGTCGTGCAATATGCAAAGCAAATAACGGTCCAACCTCCGAAACAATCTTTGGAAGTTCAGACAGCGCCTCAAGCTCGATCAAATTTGATAGGATATCCATACCATTCAAGATATTATCACCATCCTTATCATAACCACCTATTTACAAGACCAAACAAGTATCATTACGTGAAGCTAGGAAGCCGAGACCATGTGCGGCCCTCAATATTTGTCGGCTATGCCAATCCTTTGGTAAATATTCATTACGCTTAATTATTTGTAACAAAATAAAAATAATATTAAATCATGATATTATAAAAGAATATAAGAAAGAATTAGAGAGAAACATTGTTAATTTTATAATCACTAACAAAATAATATTTTTATTTTTCTCATCAATTTAATTTTAATTTTGCAAAATTTTATATTAATATCATTTTATGATATTTGATATTTTAAATCAATGTAATATTTGTATAATATTTAATACACATATAAAATCAATTTATATGGTAAATATATGCATGTCGTGTTTTTAAATAATTTCTCTCTTTAAGCTTTAAATATTTTTATTGTGATTTATATAAGTTTGCAATTTATTGAAGATTCCTTAAGTACAACATTTTTTTCAGGCAGCACACTACCGGCGTAAAAGATCAACCGATCTTACAAGCACATCTGACAAACCCGCGGTCCCTAATGTGGCCACGAAGTCGGCCTTAATCGACACTAAACATCCTACAGCCATCGACTCGCTACTTCCAGAAAATGAATCTACCGATACTAATGGTAAATATGTAACAAATTATGACAGAGATTTATATTTTCATGGAAATAACCTGACAGTCAGCTCAATTAAAAAATCTTGCATTCGAGTATGAAATGCGGACATAAACTATGCGGTATATATTAATTTTAATATAATTTTTTTCAAAATAAATTATTTTATTACAGATAAACATGTGAAGAATCGTCGACGCGACGCCGATTTTGCAACGAAATCATTTTTATTCGGCTTGGATCCGAATAAAATGCACTCCGAAATTAAGGGCAAAACAGAGGACGAAACACAACATTCGCTTTCCAAACGTCATCCCGCTACTCTAATTACGCCAGTATTTCTGTCCCACCAACATACACCAGAGTCTATTAAAACAACAACAGTAACCGAACCGGCGCACGAAATGTTGACAACTTATTCGGATAAAGGACAAAGTCGAGAAGCATCTAGTACTAATTACGAAAATCCACAACCCACTCCCAGTGTACCTTCTACTACAAAAAATTTCGAGCAACCTTCGAACCCGATAACTATATCCCAGACGCAGTCGTCAGAAAAGGAATCGCATGAGGATAGTAAATACTATAACTATGGCACCACATACCCGTACGTTTCGCCAATGTCAATAAAATATCCATACACATATTGGGTTTGGCCCAATTTTATATCCAATGCCGAAACGCGTCCAAGTAATGGCGAGCAATATCCACTCATGCAACAAATCGATCAAGCAACTTTACAGGTGAGAAAATTCTATATACCGATCTTTAATTCATCTCATATCTTTAGAATTTTTTAATTTTCGTCCGATCCATAAAGATTTAATTAACTATTGCAATTAATAATAGAGATATTTTTTGTGCAGATATTTTCAGTTAAATTCTAACTTAATTCAATAAAAATAATTAATAAGTTTATCTGAAATCTTGATTAAAAATGCATCGGATATTTTCAGACTATATTGATCTCTTTTAAAAAGCTATATACAATATGTAAATCAAAATTCATGCTTCTGTCTAATATACTAGTTTCTATAATATTTATAATAATCGTCAATCAATGAAAATTATATTGATTGATTAATTTATCACACTTTTAAATGTAGTTTCTCGCTTTTAAACAAGTAGAAATTTTTGAAAATAATTCATATTTTTTGCAAATAAATTATTCGTATTTGTGTTCGTAATATTATAACTCGTATAGTTTACAAGATATATAATACAATACATAATTTTTTTTAGAAAAGCAAAGACATATCTTTATAAAAATTAATATCCCATTTCTTATTTTTTGCAGAAAACTATATATATTGACACAACCAACACCCAGCTAAAACAGGATACGACAAGTCCGACAAGCAACCCGAAGTCTTCGAAAAATGAGATAATCAGTGCGCCAAATCCTCTCATACAACCTTTTTACACATATCCTTACACCCTCGCAAACCAGTATTTCGGTGAATATGTAAAAAATTATCAGAATAACAAGATAGATATCGAAGATGATGACGACTATAATGACGACTATAATGACGACTATAATGACGACTCTGACGAGGATGATTATGACAACGATCTTACATCATATGTGACCAATAATTTCCATAGATATCTAAATAAAAATTTCGCGTATTCAAGAAATGTTCCGTCAAATAAAGTTTATGACAATTACGCGAATGCTCAAAGTAATGCACCGGTGACGTACGTCGTTTCAACTTCACCGGATGTACAGCCACGTTTAAACACGTACGCATATCCATATTATTATCCGACAACAAAGACGTACGCGACTTACAGACCGTACTATTACAATTACAAATATTATTATAATACGATTTATCCAAATTATCAAAACGTACCAAACGTATATTACCGCGCACTTTCGTCACCGATTTCTTCTTCTTATTATTATTAGTAAAGCGTTGTTACAGATACGACGTTGTTATCGATTCGTACCATGTTACCTTGAAGCAACGAGTCGATTGACCGTAATGATTTTTCATGATCCATTTATTATAATTACTCTATCATGCCGTGTACACACAACTTTATTTAGATAAGCACGCATATTTCCCTCATCATATTCCGTCCACTCATTTTATCAGTATAAATAAATGTTTACGTATTATTTTTTATAAAGAATAAAATATGTTAATTCGATATTTTAAGTTTTATATGTAATAAGTTTTTAAATAAATATGTATTTAAAGGAGATCGTTATATCTTCTTCGCTACATTTATTTGATATGATGTAAAACTGATCGCAGCATAAAAGATAATCTTAATTAGTATTTAGAATCATTTGCATTTATAATAAAATATCAATTTTATAATAAAACTCTTAATCTTAATTAGGTTTCTCAATATATGTACTTTTAAAATAAATTAAGACAATTTATAAATGTAAATGTAATAGCGTGTTAATAAAGTTAATAGTAATGTGTGAAAATATTAATCTATAATATTCTATGTATATCTTATTGACAGATATGTAAATTAAGAGATATTTAACGCACGATTAAATAAAATATCTAATATTTCAACAATATCTGCCGATTGTATGTTCGCGAAATGATTTTATTACAGTGTATAAACTGAAAATACTTTCACCAACTAAAACTTAACTTTGAATGTAATACTTGGTATAAATGTACGCAGTGATGGAAGGAAAATTCAATTTCAGACAATTTGCCGAGACCGTTAATTGAGCCGATGAGAGAACACAGGTAGTCGAGGCGTCGTCCGTCTGCAAAATGCGCGAGTACCAACCGGAAAAGGAGGGCAAACACCGATCGAGAGCAATTTCTGATTCGCCCCCGGGGCGCATCTCTCTGCGATGAAATGCAATTTCTTCAATTCCTGATGGGATACGCGAATATTAATTTTTCATTATATCTTCCGGGAGAGTAAAACGTCATAAAATTCGAAACGCGTTGGAAAGCAAGTTTTGATCGGACAGAGAATTATTATATTAAATATTTTCCCGACTCGAGGGAGTTTAATGACAGATTCTGATATCTATATATGTATATAGATGACGTAACTTGTTATGGTTGATGTAAATAATATCTGTCATCAACATTATTATATGTATACGGAATCAATCGCGATATTCATTGAGCGAGACGCATCGTTGATTACTTCAAACACACATGTGAGCCTGGTGGCTGGCAATTGTGTAACAAGTCGTAAACTTGTCGTATAATAACGTATCTCGAGGTAACGAAGCACTGAGGCGTTTAAAGTTTGCTGAAAGTTATAAAACGAGATGTAGAAGATATACCCATCTGTGTTTATAGCGATCTAATTAGGTATCGCCTAATGTCATTATCGTGAAATAAAATTTCAATCTTTAGTATGTTGATTCGCGAAAATTTCTTTTCTTAATTTTAAATCTCTCGTTACGACACACAATACGGCAAAAAGTTTTAATAACAGGTTTTGAGAACGTAATAAAACAATTGTGAGAGGTTCTATTTGTGCTACACATTTGCATAATAGCGTAATATTCCTAGCAAATGCGATTAATTGATCGACTCAAAATTTAAGAGGAAGTGCATTCACCAGGCGGAAGTTATGAATTGTTGGTATAAACGTTCCACAACGTTTGACGTAATAACCGGGGCTGGGAATCGACCATTACCCATTACACTCGTAACAGGTGAGTTAATCTGGTTTAATTACACATTAATTAGCCAACAAGAATCTTAATTATATACCAAAATATATATAAAATCCATTATCACTATGTACTAGATAATATATATTGGCCTACCAAATTTAATAATATTAACAAGATTAAAGAACCCCCATCCTTGAATTATCAACTACACAAAATTAAAAAAAAAATTATTTTATAAAAAATAAACTTAGAAAAAATACAAAGAATGTAATAAAATAGAATTTAAAATATATTCTTATAGAAAGTTTATTTATGATCTTGAATATTTAGATCTTAAATTTCACTGGCTTATAATCTTCGAATTTTTTAAATATCTTGTTCAAGAACTTAAAGATTTTTGTACTTTACTTCGATATTTCTTCTACAACTCAGTTCGCGAAAGAGAAACAATTTTAAACACAAAAAATATCATTCGAGCAAACAAAAAGATTGCTCGTGAGTTACAATTACGAGAATTCGCTCTGAGTGCGTTTTGTCGCCCCCAACTTCAACTTTGACATCTCCTTGACTCTTTGCCACGTCCTTGATGTCCCCATTTCTCACGTTGCTTTTTAATGCCAGCTTTCCAACATTCACATACCAATCTTAAAGTACTAATCTAATTTTGATGATCGCTATTACTTACATTTGGTTTTATTTTTTTTAATTATCATCATATTTCATAATGAAATAAATGCAATAAAAAAAATGGAATAAATAATTAAATAAATGCAATAAATAATTAAATAAATGCAAGAGAAGGAAAGTAAAAAATTAAAATTAAAAATTAAACACAAAGTTACGACAATTTTAAACTTTCTTCGGAATTTTCCTGTTAGCATTCTAGAGTTAATTTATACCGTAACTCTTAAGCAATCCAATATAACGGCGCATCCTGTCCTGCCTTTGGCGCAGGACTGAATTAATCGTGCATACAAACGAGAGACGAGATATCGTTTTCGCGTGGGTCACTTTACTTTTTCACATCAATCGATTTCTCCGGTTCACTGCACGATAAAAGTTTATAAAAATGAATGTAAAAGTTTCTTATTCATTATAAAAAAATTAAAACTTCAATTATTTTAAAATAATAGAAAATTATTAATATTAAATTATTGCATCAGGGTTATATCATGACAAAAAAATTAGATTCTATTTGCAAATACTCCAGCAATAGCTTTTTAAAAAATTTGAAGATATTAATTATAATAATAATGTATGATAAGGAGTGCAAGAGATATAAATCGGAAATTAAATTACACAAAAATAAAAGTTATAAGCATGTAATAAGCTACATATACATCCAGCAAATACTTATACATATTACGTTTTTTTCCTAAATTTGCATCATTAAAAGCGCGACAAAATATCTTTCATTTTTTATTTGTTCATCACATAATTTTCGTGCATCATTATCTTAGCACATGCAATCTCTTAGCCCTATGCCCTATAATAAGCCAATATTTAATTTTTAATTAAATATCAGTATTATATTTCTTATATTATATTTTTTATATTATATTTTTTTTATATTATATTTTTATTTTAAATGTCTGAAGAAATTATTTTTCACACAATAAAAGAAAAAGATATGACCTACATATTAATATATACACTGACGCAAGCAGAGATTTTCTAAGGAAAAACCGGAACTCGCGATTTGATGGAAACCGTCTAAGAATTTACATTGCCTACAGAAAAAAGTCCGGAGAATATTGTCGCGTGATGCCTATCTCATGGGTAAATCAAGCTTCGAATACCAGTACCGGTCTCGACTTACAGGGTCAAAGCTGACCCTCTGAATACCTCCATTACGGGATAGCTAATAGTTCCTTTACACGGTACCGCGAAGATAGTCCTCTCTGAAAGAGTCTTGCTTCTGATTAATAAAAAAGGAAAAACAAGAAGCTCGCGCTTCCTCGTGAAGTGTGTTTGCCCTTTTCGCTATCGCAGGTTCAACGTACCGCACTACCGAATCTCTAACACCGTATACTAAGAATTAATATTAACATGTGAATACTTGCTAAATTAAATCTGCCAACGTTAATTGCTCGCTAGATTAAATTTCTCGGTGCTAAATGCGTCGTTAAATTAAATCTCCCGTCCTCGCCGCACAAAATTTTTCGACACTGAGCACTTCACTAAATTCTGAGAATTAATATTTCGGTTATAGTATATATATGTGTGTGCAATAAATCCCAAAACTCGTAGCGTTTATGCATTCTTGAAAAACCAATTGCAATGAATGTCGCACATATAAGCGTAAAATTTATTAACAGAGTAAAAGCGCCATTAATAATGTCGTTTCTTCGCACAAAGTTAAATCTTGTTATATATCTCACGATGATTCATCTCCGTGCGTTTTAGTCTCGTGTGCAGAAACGAAATTACTGACGACGATCTTCTCTTATATTGTAGATAATCGTTGGCGGCGTATGTCGTTATATATGTGAAACCTCTGACTATTAGGACGGAAAATCCGTGCGATATAACAGAGAATATAATGGGAGAGAGAAAATTAACAGGCGATCGGACGACTAATCGAGAAGCTTTAAATTGTATTGTAGAGAAAAAGTGAAATTGAATTATTAAGATCTTCGCTATCGATGTCTACATGTGCAAATCAAACTGTTTGAAAAGTCTATTTAAATTGCAAATGAGTGAAATCGAGAAAAAAAAGTTATAAGAAATTATTGGAACTACTCGACACATAAAACGTTATGATTCAGACTAGAAGACTTCACATCACTGTATGAGTCACTTGACTTGGACTAGATTCCTATCTTCGGAACAAAAATATTATAGATAACGATAAGAAAAGCGGAAGAGACATTAAAATCAAGAGAAATTATATATATATGGTGTGCAATCTATTTTGTCAAAGTAAAAAACAGCAGCTGCTTCCACAAATTATTTCAATAATTTTTGATAATTGCTACAAATTGGATAAAAGATAAAAACAAAAATTACTAGAATATAATTTAATATGTCAATACAAAAACTGATCACGCATATCACAAACACTAATAGCAATATTTGTTGGAATAATTATGTTTATATTACATCGCACGTTTACGCGTAAATTACAAATAATGATGAAATTATTATTATTATATATTTCACAAACACAAATAATATATTTACTTCTTTTGAGGCGGACGTTTGTACGTGGCGGACATTCACGCAAAATAAAAGTAAGTCAAGAATTCCGTAGCATATCACACACGCGCATGCGATATGTAAACCTTTAAAAAAAGGATGCAAAATTAAAATGAAAACGGAGCACGTGACGTATACGAGTGACGTCTCGCGACGCACTGACTCGATCTCGTCGAGCGTCCCGACGCCGCTACGACGGCGCCGGAAGTGACACCCTCGCAATAACGTGCCGCGAACAAGAGCGGCGCGCACCAGGATTGCGTCGCATGTGCAATAGTCACCATGCAAGGAGATCGATCAGGAATCTCGGGTGAGTAACCTCATCGACGTCACGAGACAAGAGAAGAGATCCGACGATGACATCATATATTGGTGAACATTTAAATCCGTTATGCAAGCAATAAATTTCATTGTGCGTAAGGTCAAGGTGTAAGAAAAAAATTGGTATGCAAAATTATGGTGAATAATTCACGCCGCAGCGTTTCAATTCTATTGTAAGATTTTTTTCGGTATTTTAATTAATAATTTCATCCAAGTTAATCGAATCAGCTGAAGCATAAGGGATTGAAGAAACTGATGCCGTAAAACGTCTCAGCAGTGATGTGACCATGCATGTTTTAGTACAATTAAATATAATTATATTCGGAGATAGGTCGGCCTCTCCAATTAAATACAATTATATTCAAAGAGAAGCCGATCGCGACGAGAAAATCTCTGTGAATATCGGGCATTAACGGCATCACTACGAAGAAATTTTAACGAGTAAACTACTCGATAAATCTTACAAACCCGATCGTCAAGAAGTACCAGTCTTCCGTAACCTTTTCATGACCTTCACCTACGCAGCCACCTTCTTCGGAATACCTACAAGCAAGTCGACTTCCGCGTCCAAGAAATATATCTTCATGTAGTCACGGGATATCTTATTGCCGCGGGTCGGTTTTTGCCGGTACGAGATTTTTGCGGAATCGCAACGATAAAGAAACAGCGAACGAAGCGAATAACGGCGAATCTGCAAAGATGCGACGAAATCCTGCGAGCGTATTAAGCCAAAAAATCGGGGACAAGTACACCATAGCTGCAATTAACAGCAAATTAATATTGCTACCCGCGTACAGTAATGTAAACTTAATTGAATTCCATCACGTAAGATGCCTCGAAAAAAGTATACGTTTATGTCAGAATTAATTTAACAATATTACTGATATTACAGGAATAAAATTCGAATCCCGGAAGAAATAACTGGAGAATTAATACGGAGCTAAGAGACAGAAATTTATATTTAAGGAATAATAATATTCTCCGCGTTCAATATATATCCTTTAATACTTTTTTATTGCATTGTATTTTTTATCTGCATCTTTTCCTTTTAATTATATTTATAAATAAAAAATTCTAAAAAAATTTAATAATCTTTAGCATGTAAATTTATAAAAATAAATACACACATAGGATATGTATATTTTTATAAATTTTCTTTTCTTAGAATCTTAGAAGCTTCGTTAGTGTAAAAAAATTAATATGAAATTTTAATATACTTTCATAAAGTAACATCGATCTGTTTAAGTATAGAAAGTAGGTTGTCGAGATTAAGTTAAGCATCGAGTTAAACGTTCTTAAATGCAGCTTCGCTCGTGCGCCTCGACGAATGTCGAGCGAAGTATATGAGAATGGACTTGACGAAGTCGGCGCAGCGCGACGTGTTCTGGAGCAATGTCCGTTCCGGGCTACGTATTCCTCTTAATTGAGCGTGCACTGAGCCCCTCTTTTCCTTCGTCGTCTTCGACCTGGGTGCCGGCATGGTTCCCCACATACAATCACGCCTTAATTGAGCGTGCGCCCACCACGAGTCAGACAATTCTTTTCGCATCTTCCTCGCCGTTCCTTCTTACGCGTCTCGACATTAAACCGTGCTCACGTACACGCATAATAAATTGGAGTCGTGCACTTTCGGAAATAGCATTGTTGGCGGTTTCAGGGAGGAAGAGTGTAACCGCGAAGAATCCGATTAACTTCGCGTAATTTAGTTTAGTGTGACACTCGAGTTAAAACATCCATTTTTATTTCGTAGGTATATTACGAAAACGTGAAAGGTTAAAGATCCTAATAAAGAAATCTCTATATAGTTATCTTGAATTATGACGTCAGAAACGAGAAAAAAATACGTGAATAATTTTTGCATTTCACACCCACGCCAATTACTTTTCTCCAATAAAATCGATCCAGGCTTATAAAATGTATTAAATATTATAAAAAAGAAAATATAGAGATGATTCTGAATAACATAGATATAGATTTGAAAATTTAAAAAAAAATTAAATTTTTATGTCAATGTGTTCCTCTTATGTTAAAGTCCAAATTATGTTAATTGTTCTCTATAGAAATGACAAAACATTTTGAAGATTAAAATTCTATTAAAATATAGTAAGTGTACACTAAATTTTTATTAAAGAAAAGCAAAAATAGATTATTGTAAAACTTAATTTTAGATTATTTGTGACAAACTTCTATTTATAGTTTTATGTACTATATATCTTTAATATTTGTGTATATTCTGATAGACATTTAATTTATCTACATATTCTTTTGAATTCTTTAAATATCTTCTAGATAACATGTGGATATATAACATTATAATCAAGAAGAATTCTATTCCAAATTTTATCACAAATTATAAATCATCTAAAATAGGTTTTACTCACGAGACGATCGTATGGAAAGATGTGTGGTGTGTCAAGTTCAAGGTATTCTATAACAAGGAAGCTATTTTAGCACGAACAATCGATACATGATATTCACCTTAAGTTCTCGCACTCATAATTAGCATAAAAAAACTCATTTATCAACGTCGCGATTTGTCAATCGTAGTAAAATCTGCTCAAAGAAGCGAGTCACGTTAAGAATTGTCTCCTTAAATAGTCACGCATATAATTAAATATGACGTTTTTATTAAAAAATAATTCAGATATCATTCCCAACGTAACTCATACCGTTTATAATGACATGATACGAATCTGCAATCAGTACATATCAGCACAAATATTGCCAGGTATCGTGCATATCATGTAATCTCGGAGTAGACCTGTTTATCAGTGTGATTCATCGCCGCAGGTCTTCATTCTGAATTTCTTATAAACCACAAGGTCGTATCGAGTCGATTGACTGCATTCGCGGTTTTCTCTCTTTTTTTTTAGTATTAGATGATATCGACAAAAAATGATCGACATATAATTCAGCATTTATGCATAAACGAGAATTCATATAAAATAAAGTTTGAATGTACAATGTTGCATATATACGTTCTTATTGTCAGATTCATTTTTCATTGATTTTAATTCATTTATATGTTGCAAAAATATATATAATCTTTAATAATTTTATCAATTTTTCAAAGAGTTTCTATTAAAATAATACAACATTTATCTTTCGAAGTTTTTATTTCTAATTTCTATAAAATTCTTATTTTTTAAACGAAATTGTCGATTTCTGTTTTTGACATAAAACAATATATTGTCAGTGATATTAAGTATCTGTCAATCTATATATTAATATATTTTCGCGTTCAAAATAATAGATTTTAACACGACACATGTAACACTTGATTAATATAAAATTACTTATTCCCACGTGATCATTTGGTGCACCTTTCATCGAAGACTAGAGAAAATTCATCGTATACAATCGAGGTCAAGTTCGTGCCGATGTCCGACTACATAATGCGTCCATCACGATCGGAGAGCTAAATGTACTTTCGATCCGTCGATCGCGTTTTAGCGAACGACATGGGGCGTTCAAATCTCTCGAGAGGAGAAACGATCCGGGAGGATTTCACCGACCCCAAAAAACGAGCTAGTTGTACGAATTCCTTCCTCTCATGCAATATATATTTTTTTCCTTTCTACGAATGTTTTTACGATCGACGGTAAAGAGAGCAGCAACTCCTTTAGAGTGCGCGATGAATCGGAACAGTCGCGATATTGTCTGCAAAAAGCGATCGATCTGAAACCGCTTGAAAAATAAGAAAAATGCCGCGCATTATCACAGGAATCATCCTTCGGAACTCGAGGCGAGAAGCCACTTGCAGGTAATTTGCGTCCGGTCAATGCGTATCGTGGGACTTGAATAACGTAACGGCTCCAAATTTACTACCGTTGTTCTGACAGAATTAGCGTAATCCAATGTCTCGAAGATCGAAATCATCCCTCATCCCTCAACTCTACTAAGATATCATATTTTATAACATTCTATCGCGGAAAAAAATTAGCTACCATAATAACATTTTAGTTTTCCATATATTCCAACCTGAAATTTAGTTATTATGCCTAAATTTTAGCTATGGTAATTAACATTTTTAACGGAGAATGCTATAGCTAAAAAATATTAGCTATCGTAGCTAAAATTTAGACCTAATAACTAAATTTTATGTGTAATATAATAGCACGTGTCAACTTTAAATACCCAGAATAATTAATAAAATTAATATAATTGTTTGAAACATGGATGAAGGAAGAAAATAGAACAATGTAAAAGCACGTTCTATTCGTACCTTCCTAATGTATCCTTCGAAAAATCCTCAATCGAAGCGACCGCCGATGATGTCACAATGATCATGATAAGACTCGTATCCCATATCTCTTGATAAAAAAAATTTACAGGTTCTTAACGCGTAATTAAAAAAAATAAAATCACCACACCAATAGTTCAACTCACTGCATGAAACATTCACGACAATTTTGCATAGTCCAATTTTTCTCGAAAAACAGTTCTTTTCACTCAAGTTGTCTTCAATTACGATCTAAGATCACCTGGTCGATTTTCTTAAAGCATGAGCCGCCAACAGACGTACTCGGTCGACGCGCGCCTCAAAAGCCCGGCAAACGACGAGAATCCGAGGATGCACTCGGCGATGCACCGCATAATGCAGTACATATAGTCACGCACAGACCAGCAGCTGGACACGCGATGAATTATAATATTCCTTCAGATCGTACACGACACGCCGCGTTTCGCGAGTTAACGACTATAATATACCCGCGCGATCGTATCGAATCTCTATATCTCATCAGCTGTACCGATCGAATCAAAGTTCTTCGATGCACCCGATGCACATACGCAATTTCACTATTCCCGAATATCATTCGCGCGCTTTTATGAACGTCAAAATATAACGATAATCCAAATTTATCGACGTCGGAAGCGTCCCGTCGTCGATCGGTTATGGTTTCGGCGAGCAACGGATGGCGAGTGCACGCGAGATCGCGAAGTGCCAGTCGGTGCGCTGCGCCGTAATGCCGAGGAGAAGAGGAAGCGGGTGTACGACTGACTGGGAAGGTGCTCGCGCCGGTTCCGAGGCACATTCACCTTGCCGGGCAATCTGTGTGCATACGCGTAAGCGACTCTCGGTCTGCGTCTGTTGCTCTGCGCTGTATGCATATACGCATGCATAGATGCATATATCGCGAATCCGCGTACATACCCGATTTACTCTCACGTGAATGACCGGAGTTTCTCCGTGTGTAAACGGAAATCGAGAAACGCACCGAACCTCCACAACCTTGATCTTGCGAACCCCTTACGTCACGAAGACGTCGCTTCGTTTTACAGCCGGCTGTTTCAACTTCTTGGCAAGTTTTACCCGACAGGTAGCATATCTTTGTCTCTTTTCTTTAACTCGTCTGAAAAAGCTTTTTTTAACTTATCTGTCGGCTTACCAAGAAGTTGGAAAAATTGTTATACAATGCGCTTCAGAAGTCGTTGCGTTTTATTAGAAACCGCTCGTCTGTTAAAGCCAAAATCGATACCAACCGAAGTCTTTATTTTCAACTATTCTTAGCTGCTACGAAGAAAAAGATCACTCAACTTTTAATTTACGTAGGTGAAAGTAGGATAAAGATATCTTAGTTTACCTAATATTATTTAATGTATATTGTAATAAAATATCTGTAAAAATAAAAGAAAATAGTTGAATATAAATAGGCATGCCGAAGAAAATCACAGATAAGAAGCGAGAACACGTAGCACGCCTCATTTCGTACGTCAAAGGGCAATTAAGTGAAGAAACCCTTTGTTAGGAACCGGGATCGACAAGATCGAAAGGATGGGAATCCTTTGTTCTCGATTACTTGCGAAGAAGAGATTGCCAGAGGAAATCGCTTACGGCGATGTCCGAAAAAAAACGAACAGAAGGCAGGAACGCACGCGCAATTACTTTAAGGCGATTATAATGCCGTTAATCGCGCTAATGAGAGACGCGCTTTGACGGAACTTAACGTGTTTAAAATGCACTGTGTACGCACCCTGTGGTCACACTCTGAATACGACGAAACGTGATATTTAAATATCGCGAGCCGCTCTACTGGATGATTACAAACGACAAGAAAATCCGCGTGAAAGGAATCTCCTTATGCAAAAACACGTCTTGTAGTAAGTCACAGATTCACCGAACAGCGCACATTAGCGATGAGTTTCTACTCTACATCTCCGTAAAAATAATTGCGTGCTAAGATTAGACTGCTCAATCGAAAACGTATAATGAAAACGTATAAATAAAATTAATGTAATGAATGACGTGCTTAAACGATTCATAGAAAATCTAGATTATAATCTCTCTTACACTGAAAAAACATTTATTGAATTCGAATAAGTATTTATTTCAGTACTGCCAAATAATCATTTAACTGAAACTAATATACTGATAATAATATTGATTTGATGTAAAAAATATTTATTTGAAATATTTATTTGTTTCAAATAAATGATTTATTTGGCAGTATTGAAATAAATGTTTATTATATAATTTAATAATTTTTTTCAGTATACGTATACATATATATTAGCAAAAATAAAAATTTTACATATATATAAATTTCTGTTTATTCCAGGATCATATAAACTTCTTGTTTATAAAACTACTACATAAAATAATTGCACTTTACCTTGTGCACTTTGATAAGTTGTATTTTTTCTAATATCTACGAATGAGAGAAATTATTTATAACACTTTATTCAGCTAATGATTAATTTACCATTCATCTTTCATGAACCGGATCTTCGAGGAAGAAAAAGCGTATAAAAGATGTGCACTCTCAAGTATATTTACCTAATTAATGCATCTCACGTACTCTTTGATATAGCGACAAGTTCGACACGTTTTCAACTTTCTATATTCTATATCATAACAGCGGACAGAAAAGAGAAGAAAAAAAGAAAGATCGAACCAAGAGAAATTGTAAAATTTACAGACTTTACGCTTTCAAGTGCACGCGCGTGAAAATTGTATAAGCACGCGCAAATAACGCATCTTCGATGCAATGATCTACATATAACATACAATCGTTAATTAATGCCATCGCTGAAGCTCAGCAACGAGAATTGATTGGAGCTAATTTAAAGCAAACAGCACGAGGACATCTTTCGCGCTCAATGACGAATACAAATACATTAGTTACGAAGGCTGAACTCACTTCTGTTAAGACATTTATTTTTATTAAGACAGTTTATTGCACTTCTTAATATAAATAATATATTAATTAAATATAAATAAAAACAATTATATTATATTAAATATATTAATTATATTAATTAAATATTTATTAATTATTTCATCATTGCTAAAAATGCTATATATATAGCAAAATGAGCCATATGTGTTCATGTATTTATATTTCATATTTATATATTCAGCATCTCCTTATTATACACTATATACACTGAAAAAAACAATTTATTAACTTGATTAAAACTTTCAACCAAATTACTATTTTGTTAGTTGAATATATATTAGTATTTAATTTAAATATATATACGTTTTGTTAGATTTAATGTATTATATTTAATTTAAATATATTTATATGTTCAATTAACAAAATAATATTTAGTTGAAAAGTTTAGTCAAGTTCACAAATGTTTTCAGTGTACTAATCTTCAGCGCATAAATTTTAAAAGGTCAATGCACTTGATTACATATACATATAAATAATTTAAGAATCAAAGAAAAATAATCAAATATAAGCAGTTATTATTTGTAGAAATATGTTCAGTTCGTGCATCTCGCAAGCGATCTGTAACATAACGATAATGTCTTCGCGTGCGAAACGTATCTCCATGAAAGCAATATTTTTCAAATGTGTTTCGCGTGTCAATACCGTTGCCCAAATTATCAGGCAGGTCTACCACCGGCAATCGCGACATGTGTTTGTGATTGCAACGTACGTGAACATGAGGTAAAAATAACGGTACGGGGTGATCTCTCATCACCGAAACTGGTTCCCGGAATACTCCGACGAGTAGTCTCTCGATTGAGAGAGAGAGACGGTCCATATGGCGTTAAAACAACTACGGCTGGAACATACCACTAATGCTCATAGATCGTTTTTATATGCAAATAAAACGGTGCGTCCCCGTATAATTCCAGATCGACATAAGACGCATCTCGCTTGTGCGATGCATTCATGGGCGTCTGGAGGATTTTTTCCAAGGGGGAGCATAATTACAATTCTTTTGTTTCTTATTTTTTGTTGTTTTCAATTTTTTAAATTAAATTTAATTTTTTTATGTTCATTTTTGTTAATATTAAATATGCAAATAAATTCCAGTGTTTATTCAAAAGCAGAGCAAATTCTTAATTTTTATTGATTCCAAAGAGGAATAAATGCCTCCTCTTGCCTCCCCCTTCTTTCGGACGCCCATGCCAACATTTATTTTTTTTTATTAAAAAAATTGTTTTTATTTTCTAGAAGGAAGCAAGTGCCTGTTTTTTGCCCCCTCCTGTGGACGCCTATGGATACATTTCCGCGACAGCAAATTTATTTCGAAGGCATATGGCGAGTGCACGCTCTCTGGCATGCACACAACTGTGAGAAGATAGATAGATTGTGTGCATCTAGCGTTTCTTTCGGAGACGAAACGACAGGCGCGTGCTCGACGATTCGACGCGTGCTACTCACGTGTCGGAAACCAGTTTCGCGTGAAATGCTCCCGAAGAGATCCTTGAGAGAGGAGGAAGAGCCTCTATTCATCATTATCGTAGATCTCGTAATTACCCGTTTCATTCGAGTATCCTTCCGAACATATCCAATTAATGAACTCAGACATTTTTGATTCAATTGTGAATATTATTTTTTGATAATAAAACTTTAATTTCCTTTGGCGAGGCAGCGGAATCGCCGTTGCTTCGAACCATATCCTTCTCTTATTCACTTCTCTTATGAATGTGGAAGTTGTAGGAACTGCTGTTCTCGTTAATAGCCTCGTTAATGCTAGGCCGACGAAAACCGTAATAAAAACATCCTATTTCGACCACGTTAATCTTGATCGCGATACGCAGTCGGACCATAAGCAAAATCGATTTGAATCTCGAGACGGCGCCTGATTTACCGTTTTACCCGTTCGTTTGCACCGAGCGTAAGAAAAGACAGCGAGGATAAAACTTCTGCGGGACACCTTCTGTGCGGTTCTTTAAAGATACATCAAGATACAGCGAATTCATATTAACCATGCGGAATGCCATTATTCGACAATAAGCATGTAAATAAATATTTCAGATGTCCACTGCTTTGGTATTTGTCCTCGCTTCAGAATTTTTTGCATGATTTACTCCGAAATTTCTTATATACATTTTTCATCTCTTTTTTTAAATAAATATTTTTATTTATCGATGCATAACTATGCACTGAGAAAAAAGTGGTTAAGTTAATTAAATCATTCAACTAATACTATTTTGTTAACTGAACATATAGAAACATTTAAATTAAAGTACAACATATTAAATATAATATAACGTGCATTTGACTTAAATATACTTGTATATATTCAATTAACAAAATAGTAAATAGTTGAATAATTTAGTTATATTAACAACATTTTTCTCAGTGTATATAGTTGTGCGTCGATAAATAAAAATAATATTTATTTAAAAAAAGAAAAATAGGAAAATATATAAGAAATTTCAGATCAAATCGTGCAAGAAATTTTGCAAATTATGTAACAATTTTTTTCTTTTGTAAAAATATGTATAAGTGAAAAATTACTTATAAAGATATTTATATTAAATATATTTACTTCACAGATTATACGACAGAAATTGGTTCTAATGTTATACATATATAGAACATTAAAAAATAATTTTTCTTTGGAAATGTAACACATATAAATATGTAGTTATGCCACACAGTAGCACATGCCTTTGACAGTTAATATATTCATGTTATATATACATTCACATAATATATATAGTGACACATATGCCTTTGACAGTTATATATTCATGAATCGAGTATTAAATAAGTAAACCAGTTAACTGAAAGGATCAAGACAGAACTGGTATGTTGTCGTCGAGAGGAATCATAAATAAAGCGACGCGCCGCGAGCATCTGACAGCGACTGACAGCGCGCCTTGTGCAATATGTCAAAAGCGCAATTACGAGAATGTTATGAATGAACTAGTACAATGTCACTCACAGGAAACAAGGATGAACTGACGTGTCGCGCGCATCCTCCAAAGTGACAGACCGCTCCAGGGAAGTGAGGTTAAGGGACCGTGGATGCTCGCGAAAGGAAAACACAACGTGAAGTGATCGCCGCGTGTCGTCGAGCGACGAGAAGTTGACGCCGTTTTCGCGACTGGTCCGAAGTTCGCGACGGGAGCCCCTCGATCGAGAGCCCCGCTAAATTTTTCGTAACATTTTCGTCGCCTCGCGGCAGACTTTTTCTCGCACGACTTCCCGACTGGCGGATTCGCGCGAGTGATGACGAAACGCGCGAGTATAATTTCGCTCTGAATTGAAGCGGCGCCGGGTCGCCGCAATTGGCTGCAATTCACGGTAAAAATAAACGCGATGCCCCCGGTTGACAGCGGTGGTATACACAGCGGGGTGGCACGATGAAGCACGCGTTGGAGCTTTACTTCTCCAACGAAGACGTTGACTCGGTGCCGCGTTTTGCCGCGCGCGCGGAAAAACTCATATCTGCCGCCAGCCGACGTACGACGCGCGTCTCGCCAATTATGTAACTATTGTTGCACGTAAATAAAGGCTACTTACCACTGATCGAGGCGAAAAACGTCAGGATCGCGCGCACTCACACACACACTCGCGTTGTTACGTTTCTGCGGGGACTGCTTGCGGCGCACTGCCGCGCGATGGCGCTCGCGCGCCGCCGCCATCTTGGATCGATAGTCGCCGAGCAGCGGCGCGAATTTTCTCACCTCTCCGTGCGAGATGTGCGATAAGACAATATGTAGAACGATCTATTCATATTAAACTTGCATGAATTTGATAGAATTTGTCATGTCACGCTATAAATTAGACGATGCTATAAATTATTATTCATTATATATTCTGACATTCGCGCCAAAATGTTTGATTTCTCAAATATATTCCACTTTATTCATGGAATCCATAGAATTTTTTCCGGGGGAAGGAGGGGCATGATCAAAATTTTGCTTATTTTTTCGTTCTTAATTTTTCTAAATTTAATTTTTTATTTTCATTTTTTTATATTAAATATATAAATAAATTTCTTTATTCAAAAGAAGTTAATAATTACTTACATAATTAATTTTTTTACTGATTCCAAGGGAAGAGGGCAAGTGTCCCCATGACTTTATTGCTTTATTGCATTAAATTCGGATCTGATTATCATAATTTCAACATGCAATGAATATGATTTATAACAATCATTATTAATATTGACTTATGTCTTTGATTTTGACAACATTTATAACAATATTTATGCTCAGTCTATTTGATTTTTAGATCAATAATAATATAATTATTATATAATAAGTATAGATACAAATTGTATTGTTTTTTAATGCTATCTAATTTTGATTGGACTTGAATTGGAAGTTTCATGAAATGAAACGACTCGTTTGATTCTTTGCCATTTATATATCTCTTTTACAATAAGTTTATTATAATTTGTATATATAAAGTAATGTTATCCTGTTCTTACTTAAAACACAACTGATACACATTACATGTGTAACTTGTCAGATTGGCAAATCATTGGCAAAATACAAAAACAGCGAGATCGTATGTATAAATGAATAATTGGAACGTATTGATGAAACAGTAGTCTTCAGTTAATTCTTATAAGCTTAAAAGTATAAATAATAATTGACACGCATACAGTATAATATCATTCGCACACAACATTCATATACGTAACAAGACAATATAGTGATGCTGTTATTTCCATAAATAATGTATCCAATAAGAAACATTACTGCGCATTAATAGAAAGACGTGTCAATAGTCAATATATACGTATTTATGTGATGAAAATCTAAAAACAAACAAAAAAACGCAAAATGTAGCATTTAGTGACTTATTGATTATTTCATTAAAATGCTTAGACATAAAGAATATATTAGTAATTTATTATATATATTATCTATATATTTATATATTATTATAAATATATTATAATTTTATTATATATTATAAATTATATATTATAATTATTATATATTATAAATTATATATTATAATTATTATATATATATATATACATATATAATTCATATAATAAAGTTTTATATATGTATATATATTTTACATATGTGTATACACGTATGTGTGTATATACATATATCATCTTTTTCATATATTTCTAATATCTAAATGATATTTACGATAATTTAGTGTACTGTCGTAAATATACACTTTCGTCACATATAATAAACTTGTGTATTACTTATTGATACTCAAATGTCAATCATTTCTTATATAAATGATAGAGAGCATTATAGTATGTCAAAATGCTTAAGCTACATATTATGAATATCTTTTTCTTCTATCTGTTACATACTGCATGAAATTATTTTCCTTTCATCCATGTATAGAAGTATGATAAGCAAGTTGACGAACCTTTTTCTCGGGATCTAAATATTAAAATTACTGATAAAAACGACTTATCCATTACTTAACAAGTATACTTCTCTCTTCGCATCACAAACTCGTAATCACGAATTCATTCTTATATTTTGCTATAAACTGCGTCAATTCCGATTTCATTAAAAATCACAAGACAGCATTGGAAGCTTAGAATGTATGTGCGTTGCGACAAATGCCGCAACCTAGAGCGAACTCTTCTCCAGTCGGTGGATGCTTCACGTGTAATGGACATTCGTCTCCCTCTAATTGCTTAGCTTTGGGGCCTTGAAGAAAAAAAACAAGATTGATAAGACATTATTGTCTAAAATTCAGTATTGTATTGAAAATTGGAAAAGCGTATACGTACCGGCGGGGCATATAGGCAATTCGCTCTTCGGGATGGTAGTAACACGCTGAAAGTCGTCGTGACAGGGTTTGCAGAAATGCGTGGTTCCGAAGCAGAAGAAGACTGCCACCGAACAGCAGTACCGACATTTATACTCGAGGAAGTCCGCTCCGTGCTTCGGACACATCTGCGCCCTTGCCACGTCGCTACAGCCACCGCACACTAGTTCTGCAGGGTCAAACGACTCTCCGCCTAGTTGTGCATCACAACGCGCCTCACCACCATAATAAGCCTTCTGACATTTGTAACATACGTAGTACGCGTATCGTTCCATCGCGTAAGCAGCGGAGTCCTGATAACGACCACCGGGTGCAAAAACTCCTTCGGCCCTGCAGAAAATAATTTTTCGTATACATTTTTCGCGATAGAATAAAATTAAATGTATTATACACATCAAATGTGTAAAAGAAAATATTACTTGTGCAAGCCTTCGTATTCCAAGCGCATTAGAGCCTTCCTTCGTACATCCTCATAGAGCTCTTTCACGCTTGCTAACTGCTCAGACAATGTTGGATGATCCATCGGTACTTTGCAGATCGGGCAGAGAGAGAAACCGAAGGTGATCCGAGGTCCCACCCAGCGCTTCATCAGGACGTGTCGGCAACAATGCAGGTGGAACACGTGACCGCACTGCAACTGAATCGCCGGCGCACAGGACAAGGCCTCAGTGAAGCAGATCATGCACATGTCATCAGCGTCCTGTTTTAAATCCGTTCCCGGTAAGCAACGATGCAAGCAAGGTAAGCAAGTTCTCTCGTTTCTAACACCCCCGCAAATGTGACCGCAAGTGTGAACCTTGTTACAAGCATTCTTCGAGTGTTCCTGACAATCGTGATCGGCGCAAATGTTGCCTATCGCTAGCAAGCCCGTATTTCCCGTGGTGCCGCAAAATCGGCAAATACCAGTAGTAGCACCAACGGGTTTTCTCGGCGAACCGTCGCGAAATTCTACCAGTGCCTTCAATGTTCTGCTGTCTGCCAGAGCCAAGATCCAAAAGAGTTTCGTTCTACCGCAACCTTCGTGAAGATCCACTCGTATCGCTTCCTCTTCTTCTTTGCACACTTGTCTGATATGCGTTCTGGTTCTTCTATGAAGATGTAAAATTTTGTCGCATTCCGCGCACAAATTACCGCAAGCGTTACATTGAATAATGGCCGTGGTCTCGTCGTCATCGTGATTACTACACTTTGGCTAGAAAAGCGAGAAAAATAATGTCAGTTAAAACGTTACTATACGTTATATGCACACAGAAAGAAATCTAGTAGCAGTAATAATCTTACTCTAGGTGGTAAGGGTTGTCCTTCAGAACCGCTCCATTGACCAGATGACAATCTTTCAACGTGATCCGAATCCAAAACGCATAAAGAAGCGAGAGCTAACCACAGTGTCGGAGATCGAAGACATTCTGTAGGATCGCGACTTTTTTCGTCCAATCTAGTTAAATTTAAAATATTCTCGGCTACAGCCGCTTTCGTTATAGATGCCCATTCCTCCGACAACTTGCCCTGTAATATGAGGAAAAAACATTCGTTTATATATTTTAAATAATTTAATAGATATATTTTAAATAAATTAATTAAATCATAATACTCACCGATGCCATGTCCTTCAAAAGTTGGATTATCACTTCTGCCAGTTTACGCGTCATACAACCTCTCAACCACCATCTCGTTCCAACATAACTTTTTGGGTGAATGCTGGTAGCTAATGAAACGCATTGAAGCGCTTTACCATTTTCTTTCCCTTTTACTTTAACTTGCACCGTCAATGCTTTCGCGATACAGCTTAAAAATACGTCGAGAATCCCGGCAGAATGTTCATTGAAGTCCGAAACGTGAGTGAAGCCGCTATTCGCCGCGGATACGATACTGAAGTCGGTAGGTGGTAATCGTTCAACGTTTGTAACGCTTGCTAATGTTTCGGGTTTAATTTCGGGTAATATACGTCTTAGAAGAGATGTTACCTGAAAAAAATAAAATAAAATAGAATAGAATAAAATATGATAAAGATTTTTTTTAATTTTACGCATAATTTTTCAAGCGCTAATATGAAAAATGTACCTGACGCTGCACCCTTGCTGATCCTGTATGCAATAAACTTAGTAAATCCTTTAGTAAGCCTGTCTGGTGTGATAAATAATATTGTCCTACAGAACTTCCGCTTAAAGCAAGAACCATTGAAAGCATTTCGAAGCAATAAGTATCAGCCGCTTTTGGTAAATCGCTGTTGTCGCTTAACAGACTATTAACAGGTGTCGGTGAACACAAAAGCGTCTCCCATTCTTCTCTCAAACGAATAGTCTCTTTTCTAATCGCTTGCACGATATGAGTACACACTTGTTTTTGTAAGTGTGTTAAGTTACTTCTGCTAAATAATATTCCGACCATATGTTCTCGGAGATCATTACTGTCCTCTAAATCTTCGTTAACACCTTCTGTCAATTCCGTCTGTTGTTGCTTTTCCCCTTGTATAAGTTTGCCAAATACCTGCAATACAACACGATACATTGTGAGAATGGAATGGCTTTAAACGAAAAAAATAAGTCAAATTCGTCGAGAAATCAAATTTACTTGAGAAGTGATTAGACGAAACACTTTCAAAGTTTCTGCCTCGCAATTTCTTTGCTGAATAGTCTGTGCGCTTAATTGTTTTCCTATTTTTAAAGATCCTCCTTCGATCTCACCAAGTACTCTGATTTGACGAACTCTCAAAGAATTATCTGGACCCTTCAATTCCATACCTACGACTATATGACGTTGATCTGTAAAGAAATATATATATAGTTATAATGATACAAATCAAAATTTTGAAACCCACTTTGTTTTAAAATGCATAGTAATAAACAATATTTTATATTACCAGTGATTGGACAATTAATCCATCCAGCAGATCTGCTCTCAATCTCTACTGATCTTAGCTTTGTCATCTCATCGGCGTTAATACCAGATAGGAAAGTTACGCTTGACACTTTGTGCTTTTAAATAAAAATATTCAATTAGATACATATTAATTGTATAATTTGAATAATTCAATTGTTATGAAAGAAACTTACTGTTAAATCGCGGCAATTATCGATATGTACGTACAACATTCTAGGCAAGGCATGAGCGCCACAGATAATAGTAATCACTTTAGTTTTGTTACGATCTTCATCTCCGGATTCCCAAAATGTTTCTGTCGAATTGTCAGTTAAACTACCAATCATAGCTTGGCGACTGGAAGCTTTAATCTCGACGCTAGACGTCAAATCCTTTAAAGCTTCCACACAACTGCTTATCTGTTGCGAAGTTGTCGATTGATGACTCTCATGCATACTCATTGTCACATCTTCTTCTTCTTCGGAACGTGAAAGAATTTTGCTAATATTACTAAATACGTGACTTCTATGCAGAAACATATGATCTGCTGGTGTGAATCGAATACCCCAGCATCGAATTGCAGCTTGTTGTAACGGAGATCCTGCAAGTTAATATAATTACAATATATCTATTAAATATTAATTTAAATTTGTTGCGAGTTACTTACCAAGTGGTGGCAATAGCATTAAGTCCGCAATTGTTTGCAATAAAGTGTGAAATACAGAAGGTAATGGATTGACAGATTCTCCAGCTATCACTAAATCACACAAAGGATGCTCACTGATACCGATCGTATCCTGAAAATTAAAGCAATAACTACATCACATTCATATCAACGTTAAATAATAAATAAAATAAATAAATAAACATATAAAATTTATACAAATCAATTTCTTGTTAAAAATATCACTTACATGATCTTCTTTCTTTTCTGTTTTATTATCATCATCATTCGCGTCTGTATTGTCAGAAGGAACAATCGGCGTAAGAGACGAGACGAACCACCACAGTAAGTCGTGTAAACAAATTGGTTGTGTTACGCTTCTTAAAAGCCAATTTAACGCCTGCATCGCGTAAACTCGACAAGCGGCGCGGCGCAATGCTTGCTTCATCGCAAGTTGTAAATGTTGTAAGTTGTGTTGTTGAAGAACGAATAACATCACAGGTCTCATGAGAATCTCAATTCGATCGTTACTCGCTACTTCGGTTTGACTAGTGGATACTATGGCGGATTGATCCATCGATGGTACTAATTTCTGCAGTGCAGCAGATGGATAACATAAAAGGGAAGATCCGGCTTCTAAAAAATAATAGAAAATATTTTATTAATATTTATTCAGGAAAGAAAATTTCGTGATTATTTATAATATACGATAACAAAATGTTGCTTAAAATATAGAATACAAACGTACCGTTATTCATTTCGCTACTGCTATTGTTACGTTTTCTCATCATAACCACTCTGCCATCATTACTGTTTCTAGCCCAAGGTGCACCGGTAGACATAGATACCGATCTATGGAACGTGCTACGATTTTTGCTGCTTTCATTATCACTGTCACTCATTGGATACTCCGACAGAGGCTGTAAAATGAGACAACGTTAATTGAAGCAATGTTTAAATATTAAAAATAGAAAAAGTATTTTCTTACCCTGCCATTCGCGTTATTGAATGCGCTACTGCTTCCTTCATAATTATTTTGTTGTCCATTTTCACGTCTTAGAGTTTCTTCGTAATATCTTTCGTCGTGACTTTGTGAGTGATGAACACCTAATGCTTGCAAACACTGGAATGGTCCAGTTGGCGGAAATGGTCCGGCGGCCTCTGGAGGACTATAATTTTCTGCTACAGACGATAAAGTCTGCGAAGGTCGTCTCTGCTGTTTCGGGATATTAAAGCCAGAAGCGCTAGCCAAATCCAGCAAAAACATCGCATTGTTTTTCATGATAATATGAGTTTCATTTCCACTGGGACTATTAATCGGAGATAGAGTTTTGCTCGTACCGTTTTTTCTCTTGGAAATCCCGCTTACCAATTTCTTCGCAAACTTGCTCTTTCTGGCCTTCAAATACTTATCTCTACATGTGTCGCAGATCAAGTACCACGAACTACCACCGACGCCGCCATCTCCGCAGTTGCCTGCCCACCCTACGCAATAGTTTCCACCGCTGTTATATCCTTTTCCGCCCGCATGCCAACCGCAACCAGGATGCATCATTTTCATATGATAAGTTACTGGATGTGGAAACATCAGGCCACAAAGTTCGCAGATAGTCTCGCGCTCGATTCCCGTCAAAACTTCAGATGCATTCGCTCTACCAATGGGTTTCCATTCCTTCTTTTTCCGATTACTCTTCTTTTCACGTTCCTTCACTTTATCCTCTCTGGGACGTTTCTCTGGTATCGGTCGTTTCACCAGCTTCATCGTCTGTATCTGCGATATAGGACTAGGTAAAATTGACTGTTGTTCGATGGCCTGCAGACAATTCGTGCTGAGTTCTTCCCACAGAAAAACCAAGCTCTTCAACGCGGGTGGCAGCACCGCGACTGTATGAAATTCGGGCAGGGAACTGAGCTTGCCCGAATCCGCTTGAATCTCTTCTTTGATCGTATTCTCCTGTTTCTTCCTGCTCCTATTGGCATTAGCGTTCGCGGCTGAACGCGTGAGTGTCTCCAACGTGCTAGGTTGAATGTGCAAGTAATTGCCGGCATTTGTCACTTCAACAGAATGTCTCTGTCGTGCCTTTTGCTCCTGTTGCTGTTTGTCACTGGATTGTACAACTGTATGTCTGGTCACAACCAATGCACCTTGTTTCGGTAAACTCGGGTGGAACTTGAGAAAACTCGCGCAAGCCATGGCATCGTGCACGATCCCCTCGTGCCACAGAAAGGCCGCGAAAACAGCTCTCAAACATTCCGCTACGGAAGGACTGATCGCTTCCTTCACTTTGTCTTTACTCAAATTAAGAGCACGATTAGGATTGGGACTTTGCTGCGCGTTGGCGGGCGACATGGCGCGTTTTGCTCTAGTTTTCACAACCTTCATGTGATCCCTTCTACTCATTTTCGGCGAGTGTCGCTCGTCCTTTACTCCGGAAGAACCAATGCTGAAGTGACCCTTCATAGCTGTAGCAGCGCTTTCGGGACTCGTCTGCGTTTGCGCTTGAGACACTTTGCGCGGACTTTCCTGAGGATCCTATAGAAAATTAAGAAGTAATGATTGATATAGATATTTTATCTTGATGAAGAAAGTAATTAAAGTGCAAAGGCTTTTATATCAAGCTGCTTACGGCACACTCCTTCTTCGGAGTATCGGGTGGACTAGCTATGCTGCCTTCGGATCTCATGTGTAGGGAACTGCAACTTGGACTCGGTGATAGATCACGCGTATTGGCAGTAGTACTGATACCGCTCGGTGACTGAGATGGATCTCTCGTTAAGCTGCTAACCAAGGCACTTGTGTCGCTCTGCGTTGAACCGCGACGTTGCGACGTTATGCTGTCGATCATCCCTCCTGACACTTGAAACAAGAAATAATAATATAATAATAATCGCAAGTTGTGTGCATCTCGAAATCCGTAAAATACATTCGAATATTCAATTCTGTGATGGCGAAGTGGTATTTACTTTCTCACCTTACTGGTAAAACGCATGGACAGCGATAGAGCAAGACGCTTATCACATTCGCTTACATTACACAATTCATTCGGTAAATTTAAGTCGTGCAGATTAATTTCGTGCGACCGTGTTGAAAATTAAAAGTTTCTAAAAAAAAAAAAAACACACACACACACATATATATATACATATTTTGCTTTTGTATTAAAGTGTAGAATATATATTACAATAGTACGAATTCTGATGACCGATTGCTCATTATATAAATTTAAACGTAATGTAAATTAGGATTAGGTTGTAAATATTGTATATTAGCGTGTATATTAATAATCTTACCTAATAGGGAGAGGCCGACACTTCGGGGGGAGCCGCAGAGTACAGGGCTGCTACTCATACTCTCTCCCCCTCCTATCGCGCTTCTCCCACCTAATAATTTTGATTAATTGTAGCATGTTTATTAAGTACGTCTTAATAATTTAATTATGCTCTCGGCTTCTGAATCGTATACAAAATTTATGCGTATGATGTAATCAATCATGCATCAACTAAAGAATAAAATGTCGCGTGCCATACCGAATGCTATTTCGCATGCATAGTAATATCGTAATATTCACTGATTAATATGTGAAGTGAGGGATTCTATATACTGTGTGCGCCATCAATATATATATATATATATATATATATATATATATATATATAAAATAAATAATATATAATTAAAACAAATTTCAATGATACAGAGAGATTCTGTGCACTATTCGATAATTTACAACTTTAGTAATTCAATAGGATAGGAGAGAGTACCTGGTGCGTTAGCAGCAGGAGGGAAGAGGCAATTGCCAGAAACGGCTGGCTGTCGACTGGACCCAGCTAAGATCAACATGACTAATTTGTTATAACTAATCCAAACAGCATATATTATTTGTATATTTATTAATAGTTAATATAAATATCTAATTTTTTTCTATCACATCTATCATATTTATCGTAATATCACTAGATCAAATGTCGTTATTCTTTCATATTCTAATACGCGATAAAAAAATGAAATATAATAAATACGTAAAATATTTTGCATTGCTGCCTTACAAGTATCAGCGTCCGTTCTCACAGCTTCTGAAATAATTTCATTTTCAAAGCAATTGCCAAATAGTGCCAAATTACACAAGAGTATACACATGGGTGTACAATGTTATAGAGAAATGAGTCATGAAATAAGTCTGTTCGATAGAGAGAAATGACTAGAAAATTTATAATTTAACAAAGTGTGGCGAATATATACCAGGTATTGGGACTGGACTAGACGATGGGCTGTGAAATCTAGGCGATCCACCTTGGGGATTTTTCGGCGAGGAACTTCTTGATGTACGTCGCGGTGTTTCCGGCGGTGTCGCTCCGTTGCCATTAACGCGGCTTTCCCCCATCGCTTTTACCAACTCCTTCACAGATACGCCAACGAATTCGGAAAAATCTCTGAAAAATTATTATATATATTAATATTATATAGATTAATTATATATGGAACATAGGATTTCTAACACTTTGAAAGTTACCATTTTTTTTTAAATTTGCTATGAAATGTGTTATGCAAAAAGAAATAGATAACATCATAAAGATTAACATAATTAGATTTTTTATGTTCACAAATAGATTCGATAACTTCAAAGTTTAATGATATACAATTCAAAGGGAAAGATATAATTACGTAAATAATTTTTAAAACTGATGAAAAAAAATTATAAAATATTGGTACAAATTAATATTTATTAAATATTGCAATTAAAGATTTATCACAAGAATATTATATATACGAAAATACATACCTGCCCGGAGAACTTCTTTTCTCTCCATGACATTTATCATCACCTCGCAGCCATTTCTGAAGAACGCTAAATTTTCCTCCGCCCCCTTCCCTTTCTCGCTCTTTAGCTACTCTTTCTTTCGAATGAGGCTTCGAAAATTTTGGAGTACCATCAGCTTTTTCCGATACAAAGCGTTCACTCCCTAAAAATATATATATATATATATATATATATATATATTTAATAAATATTTACACACACAATATTATTTATTCAAATTTGTTTTACAATTATCTACCTGGCGAATCATGTTGATTGTACGAACCAAAAACAAATGGATTTGTGTTACACCCCTCAATAGACTCGGCCGTCTCCGGCGTGTAATTTTGTGTGGTAAAATTGAAGCCCTCGTGGCTAACGGAAGGTACCGAAAAATCGAAACCTTTATAACTCGGTGAAATGGCGGGATCCGGTATTGACTTTTTGTCGATCGGATCGTTTTCTAAATCTTGCTCGAGTTTCATATAAATTACGCCAGTTTGTTTGTTGATCGCGAGCGACCATGCCTCTACGTTTCGACTCTTGTCAAAACAATATTTCGCCACTGAATCTTCATCGATACGCACCCAAGTTCCTTCGTGATTCACGCACTGTAACAGGTGAATCGTGAAGCACCATATTGTGTAAGTGACTACTTGTTAATGCATTAACAATTAACTTACATATTCTTGAATAGTCACTGTATTTCCAAGCGCTAACATTCCGATCGGCGCTCCCTTTAAACTCGGTTTGCTTCTAATATTGTGCCCGGAAGCGCCACATTTCACAACTATCATACTTCTTCCGGCATCAAAAGTCACCGTCTTCCTTTTACTGTAAAAAAAGACGAGCGTATTAAAATACGAAATGGAAATAGATAATGAAAGAAAGATTTGTTTACGTACTCGTCACCAGCGTCAGGTCGCTTTCGCAGAATGGTTTCCTTAATAACTTGATCTAGAATAGACTTTGGCTCTTCTACTGATAGAAGTAGAGTTTTCCCTAAATGCTGATTGTACTGCAAGCACCAGGCTTCGAGATGACTACTGTTACAATATTCCTTGATTGTCTCCGCGTTTAAACGTAGCCAGACGCCGTCATCGTTATGGATCTAATCAAGCAGAAAAGTAAAGCTTTATTCTCGTTTAAATTTCTTTTTAATCTTTGGAGTATATAAAAAAATTTAAATTAAAATTGTACAAAGATAAGGACACGCTAATAATTTTGCCAGTGTTATTTTTTTATCTTCAGATTTGACAAAAAATTATATTATTTTCATTTATTCCTTACAGTAAATTGGAAAAAAAATTAAAGAGTCTTACCTCATCGATGAAAGCTATAGTGCCATTAACCGAAACGAATCCGATTTGTTCGCTTTGCAGCGACGGATGGGCACGTATTCTCAAGCCCGCGCTATTCTTCGCGACGAATTTCCTGAGTCTGCTCGGCTGAAGCTGAGGCTTTTTGACAATGTTCTGAGTGGGCGGTTGCATACCTTGTGGAGGCTCCTTCACTTCGACTTTGTAATTCTAAACACGACGAAATTAAATTAACTTTAAGCCTCACTTCCCGACTTGTAAAGCGGGGACAGTGCGATTAAAATTGAGAATCCAATCAAAAAATAAATAGTCTACGCACATCTTCCATGCTATAACCATCCACCGTGATCATCAGCGAGTACCAGCCAACCGAGGCCGGTGTCCACGTGGCACTGTAACTGCCATCTCCGTTGGGTCTGACCAGCATACTCTCGCTCGATCTCTTGACAGTAGGTGACATGAACCTCAGTTCCTCGAACGAGTAATTCTGATAGGCTTTCATGATGGTAATAGCGTAGAAGCACATTTTGTTGTTGATGGTAACCTCATAAGAAACGTCCAGGGATGGTTGTGGATGACCGCCAAAAGTCATGGGATCCGGTTGAGAGACACGGCGGATCTTCCTGCTCTGATCGGATTCCGTGATGTCTGTCTTGTCGATCGGCACCGCCTTCACTTCGATCTGCGAAGAATGACAATTTGACATTCGAGATATTCGCTCCAGCGATCCTGAAAGCGGAGAAATACAGGTACCTTTAATCCGGATACGTGCACGACTTCGCCGTATTGATCTCTCGTGAGCACGGTGACGATGGCCGGCCATCCGCATCTCATTTCTTCACGAGAATATAACGCCTCACATTGGGAGGGATCGACGAAGCTATCCGGTTGCAGCCATCGTGCTAGCCTGCCACCGCTGGTGCCAGCTGAGCAGGAGACGAAATCGCGCAGGAAGAGACGCTCGTTCGAGTGACAACTAATAACAAAACAAACATTCCAAATTTAGTTTGTTAGCAAAGTGTTTCTTATTACAGTATACTTCGCAATAATCTCCTAATCTTCTAGCTACGTATACATATATTTAATTTGATATATAAGTATGTAGAGAATAAATAACATCTACATTTTCTCTAATTTATTTCTTAAATCATTATTTATTTGCGCAGCTAGAAAACTGCGCATAAATTTTAATTCATATTCGAAAGCTCTTTCTATTATAATATCGTGGTTTGGAATTTGATACGAGATATACAAGCAAACGTCAGATTTTTCGATTTTTCGATCAAAGTTGAGGAAAAATCTTTTATTAATGAATGTATAAAGTGCAGAAACTTCGCATAGCTCGTACTTGTACGTTCTAATTAATATAGCATGATATAAAATTACGCGCAGGAAGTAGGAAATGGAGATTTTCCATGGAAACTTTTAATCCTTCGTTAGTCACGTCAGGGAGAGCCGCAACGCCGAGAATATAAGATCATTGTGCGATGAGATACACCGGGATATAAACGTCGCAAAAGTTCGCGGGTTTGCGAACGGTTCACGTACTTTTATTATAAAATCGAGCTAAGTCTATTATGTACCAGCGCAGGTAGAGAGAAACACACAGTTCATTAAAGCGAGTTTGAGACAGTCGTGATACCCCTAATTGGTTAGTGCGCGGATCCCGACATCACGAATAGAGGACGATGCTCCTCTACCAGCCAGACAATCGTCGCTTCGGACTCCGCTCGGACTCATCCCTAATAAGGCACAATCACATCGCGGTTCTTCTCCTCGAGGCTCGTCAACGTGATCCGAGCCTCGCTACCTATATACCATATTATATTATATAACGTGAGCGAACTGTATCTGACATTTAAAGAGCATTTGAAAGAACGGAAGTTTCTGAGATTCTAAAAAGACACGCACAGTAGCTCCTCAGCTTCTAGATTATGGAAAAATATGTTCTGTGCGTGAGCTGAGTTATTTTGAATTTTTTTAATTTTAAATGATATATATATATATTTCAATTTTTCTTTTCCAATAAATTTAATACTACAATCATTTTGATCAAATCGTTAATAAAGTTAGACGTACTTATATAGATATATGATTTTCTCACGAATAGATTCCGTGTTTTATCGTCGCGAGAACCGGTATTCCGGAAAAATCATGCGTGAGAGATCTTGTTGGAATTCGCGTGTATCGATCGATATACGGTATTTCCGCGTAGAAAATACTCAAAATTGATTTTCTTCGACGACGTCACGATCAATAAATCTATAATATATAAATCTTGCAGTACTGCAAGAATTTAATCAACATATTGTATAATATGAAATTATTAATGTGACGATTGATCTTCCTTTCAAATCTATATTTTTTAAAAATATAAAAAAATATTTTTTAATGAATAATTCTTCGAACTTTGACAGAACTTTTGAAAGAGAGACCAAAAGTTTTAAACTATTTATGCACAAACTATTTTGAGTAGAATAAAATCTCTGAAATTAACATTAGTTTTAATCGTTAATTTAATTTTGGGAAATAGACCATTCCAGCAACGTTTCGTTCGTTAATTTAATTTTGGGAGAGACCATTTTAACGCGAATTCTAGATTAGGAGAAATTAAACTCCGATGATACCTCCGAGTCAGAATGAGAGTTATGTTGGAACCTCGATCCAAGTCTGCGGTATCGCGCGCGTATCAAACCATGTAACAAATGTAATTTTCGCGAGTCAGATATAAGCGCCGAGGAACGGGCGCGCTTTCGCCATCGATCATAGTCATGACGAAAAAGATGAACGAGCGGCATGCTAAAGATAATAGACACCGGTGCATAATACGCGAAAGGGAAAGAGAGATGGAGATGAAGAGAGAGGGAATCGGAAGCATGTGGCTTTAAAGATCAGTATCCACGTGACGTACAGCCCGTACGTGACCATTTCGGAAATGGGCACTTCGCGACTCCTTTCAGTTTGAGAAACGCGTTATGAATGAATGGAACAACGTTTCATGCGTGACAGGGAAAAGGAGAAGGAGGAGTTGCAGTGCTCAGCCCAAGAGGAGGAAGGGCGCAAGCAATTTCTCATGGGAAATTAAATGGGCAGGTTTCCGCTCATAAAGCGAAGAGCTTACGACGGTATGTCGAGCTTTAGGGAAACGCTATTTGCTATTATGAAAAGCGATGTGGCAGCGTCTTTCAGGCCACTGTCTCGTTTTTACGGCGTATCTCTGAGTTTCCCTTGTCGCGGAAACTAGTTCCGGAACAATCTGTCAGAGACGATGTGGTTCACGTTGCTTTTTATCACATACCTCGTGTATCTTTCTTTAATTGTCAGCAAGAAAGCGCAATCGTGAAAATGACTAACGCTTGTGAGTTACAGAAAAATCCGCAGGGGTTATCGAACTCGTTCAATAAAATCTATGCAGTATTTATGTATAATAATTAGTTCTCTCTCTCTCTCTGTTTTATTTATGGAATTTATATACATTACCCTCCACAAGTTTGAAAACACTTTACATTTTACAGTTACACAATCGCATGGCAGCGATCTGTGTAAGATATTTAAATGGCGTTTTTATATCGTCATTGCGATTATTTAACTGTAAAATGTAAGGTGTTTCCAAATTTGTGGAGAGTACTGTATATAAAAAATTAAATGTTTGAAGTATTTTCCAGAATAATTTTCTCATGTGAAAATCTCGAACTTTAATAGGGAAACGCTTTTTCCTATTATGGAAAAGGACACACCGCCGTCTTTCAGGTCAGTGTCTGTTTTTATGATATACCTCTAGGGTTTCCTTGTCGTAGAAACTAGTTCTGGGAAAATCTATCGGATACGACAGTGGTTCACATTACTTTTTATCATAAACCCCGTGTATCTATCTTTGATTGTCAGTAAGAACGTGTAATCGTGAAAATGACTAACGCTTGTGAGTAGAAAATCCGCAATGGTTACCAAACTCGTCCAATAAAATCTATGCAGTATTTTGCATAATAATCAGTCCTTTCGCTATTTTATTTATGGAATTTAAATTTTATTTTGATCAGCTTATTAATTTTGATTTGTAAAATAAAATACAAATATTTTTTACATATTTTCTCAGCGTATAACCATTAACACTTAAAATTTTATCATCGTAGATAACATATCTCTTTATTTTACAAAGTATCCTTGTTAAAGATAGATAACGATTAAATTTCAAGAATTTAATGTTGTTCAATTCTACTTACGTGTATAAATTTTGAAAAAAAACCAACACATTTACACGAAATGTAGAAAGTAATTAGTATGTGTACCTGATTATCTTATCGTCTGCTAATGTTTAAAGCCAGAAGCAGCCAACATTTCAACAGTTTCGTCAATGATTAAGTGCGATGCAAAATTCGATCGATATCTCAATCCAAAACGAATTGTGAATGAAAACGCGACTTTGCACAAGAACGACACGCCGATTAAAACCCATTGACCGGGGTTACAAGCCCTGAACAAGGTTTACGCAATTAGCATCCGCGATGAACATCGGTCACCGCATCGCGATGCAAATCGAGGGTTCTCCGGCCAGCAAGTTGGTCAAGGTCGTCCTGTGACAGGTGCGCACCGATCATGGTGCAACGAAAATCAACGCGTTTGCTCCCGCAAAAGTCGATGTCGATCGTCTTGGCAAGGGCGGTGCACCGATGAAAGAAGCACGGAGCCCGTTTCTTCGAACCCGAGCAAGTCGACGACGAGTCATGGCCGGCATTTATCTCAAAAGGCCGTAGACAGAGAGAGAGAGAGAGAGACCGGGCGCAATGATGGGAGATGGAAAGAGAGAAAGAGAGGGGCAAGGCGAGTCGAGCTAGTGTAGAGATCTGTTGTGTAGAGATCTAAAGTGGGGAGCAGACACCGATCGTGCATGCTACCGACCAGTTTAAAAGCAACCTTCGTCACGATCGCATCAGCTGGCCTCTAGTCGCCACACATCTTCGTTCCCTCCGGCAACGAAGCCGCGTATCGAGAAACAATTAATTATTATTACATCGATCGTTAATTTCTCTTTCTACACATAGTGGAATGTCGATCAAAGATCGATAGAGAATAAAGAGGGAGATGTATCTCTTTCTCGGTTCGGACGCGAATTGATCAGTGTCGAAGAAGAAATCGCGAAGTATACGGAATACAGTGTCTTCCGATCGATCGATCGATCGATCGATCGATCTAGGCGATCTAGATCGATTCGAGAATCATAATGATACCGGTCTTTGCTTTGCGCGAGTGCATGATCGTTCAACGACGAAAACGAGTGATCGGATCGTTATGAGAGAGGCGATCGTGGGAGGAAATCGACAGGTGATGGTGATCTAATGATCGTTTTGCGTTCGATCGAGATCATCGCGATGAGCGCCAAGCGAAGAGTGTTGAGCGCCCTGGATGGGCTCTTGTTATTAAGTGTGATCGTGGGATCGTATGCTTGGTGTTCCTCCTGTGGTATCTCGCCTTCCTACCATGCGTCGTCCAAGCCAACAGGCCACCGGGGATATGCGCCATGAAAGGCTGCAACTGCACCGTCAAGGGCATCGTTGGATTAACGTCAAGTGCGTCTTCTCCAAAGAACAGGTGAATGCAAGAACCGACATGATTAATTTTACGTTGATATATGCGCTAAAAATAACGAACCAGCAGAAAAAAAATCATTTAATCAAAATTACATACACACCGTTATTTCTCTCTCTTTATTATTTTTTAAGATTTTAAAAAAAGATTTCAAAGATTTTAGCAAAGTAAATTTGCAGACAGAATGTAGATTCTATATTTTGTCAATATGTATAAATATATCGCTGCTTAATTAAAATATACAATAATCGTCCAATAACACAGTTCGACACAGTCCGGTTCTGGAAAATAAAGATTCTTAAATTTATTCTTAATCAATTTTCTTAGATAGGGATTCTAATTGAAGATTTCTATCGATTCTTTCTTATTTATATCGAATTGAAAATTAATGCT